GAAAAAATCATGGAACAATATAACGCCAGCCGCTCAACCAATCTCTTCTTGGACCCACTCTACACATCGCTGACGCAAGAATTGTCATTGGAAAGTTTGGGACCGACAACGATTTCATCTACCCAACTAAATCCACAAAACATCGATCAAATTGTCGAAATGGAAATGAAACGCATTCAGGAGAACATCGCCCGCAAAGAGGCACAGTATGTGGAACAAATGTTGGTCGAAAATCCAATTACATTTGAAAGACGCAACAACGTCACTGTGCTAAGAAAGGCAACCTCGGACAGCTCATTATCACCCGAACAACAACGGCTGCAGCAACAACGTGCCGATGCATGTCGACGTTCTCGCTACAACAACAAAGTGAAAAAAGCCAAGTCGAAATATCGCCACAAATACATTTCCCAGAAACTCCAGCAAAGCAGTCAGATGCTGAATTGTATTAAGGATCTAATTGTCGAGGCTGAAAGTCATTTACTCGCCCAAGGATTGCACAAAGAGAAGCTCCATCAATTGCGTTCGAATTATGGCATTGAAAGGCCAGTAAATATTGGTCGTGTTGACGTCAATGCAGTAGATTTTGTTATGCCAACGGAGCCATGAGTTTCAAACTTGTGTGCGGGTGTGTTTGTGATTCGTTAATTAATTATGTTGTTAGATTTGGTAATGAGAATATTTTTTTGTTAGATTGTGATAATAGGATTAGGTATAAATAAAATTAATAAATACAAAATTAAAATAATTGCATTATTAATTATTTTTAATTCAGTGATTGCATGAAAATTGGTTAATTGTTATTTGGCAAAAAAACGGGTAAAATGTTGAACGTTTAATTGGTAATTTTTTAAAGACAGTTCACTTCCTGCGGAAGTCATCAATTAATCACCTCATTTTTTCTTAATGTAACTACTTATAAAACAGCAAACTCACCCCTTATTTTAGTTGGAAACAAATGAAACCCCATTTGTTCCTCTTTAAGAAGACTAGTGATAATTTGTATTCAATTTCACCACACTCCATCTTTTGTTTGCAATTTTTTTCGCCTGAAAAGAAAGGTTAACATTTTTATTAAAAATATATATTGAAGCAAAATAAGTAAAAAAAAGAGGTGAAAAGCTCCACCATGAGGAAAAAATACTTAACAAGTTAGAAATAATTAGTCGCTTTTGCCAACAGATTTATATCCCCCGCCCATGTCAAACTAACTTTTGACTCCCGAGGGAGTGGGCCAACATTTTCCATTTCGTATCTAATTTTATTGAATTTTCTAATTTTATTGAATGAAAGCAAATAATGTCGGAAATAGCATCCAATTTTAGAATAAGTTTAGATTTGTTCGAATTAGTCACCTTTGGTACAAATTATTGCCTTCGAACGGCCAATGATGCGGCCAAAATGTTTGCATGCCCAAGGCTTTAATACACCCTCCAGAATATTTTCGCGATTTATTCTGATGCAACGGTCGATTAATACGAGCGGAGAGCGACCTTCGGCTGTTATGGCGGCCCATACCATCATTATGGTCGGCATTTGAGTTCTGGTGGCCAACCGTAGATGTACATTTTCAGGCAAGTAAACACAATCATTTTCAGTCTGAAGTTGGTTGCAGTTTTTTCATCCCACCCTGTATATTAATATATGTGATAAATTTTGAAAAATGTTGAAATGTTCGTGGACCGATGTAGTCGACCTCATCTAATATTTGATAAAATATTGGAAAGTACAAAATTTAAAGAAAACCAAAAATTAATTTGCAATTTTATGTCAATAATTGTAAATCAAATTGAGATGTGTGAAATTTGAAGAGAATCAAATCGGGGGGAAGCACCAGAATGAGTGGTGCGATATATTCCATCTTCACACCAAATATTGTTTTGATAAAAATACTGTAATGTGTGAAATTTGAAGGGAATCGGTTGCTTACTTCGCATTTATAAGCGTATCGGTTATTCAAAATGTTGACCCTTTGTGAGGGAGATACCAGAGGGAGTGGATCGATCTTTAAACCAGGTCTTGTGTAGTAGAAATATTGGGATGTGGCAAGTTTGAAAATAATCAGATGCTCGTTTCGCGTTTTATGAGCTTCACATTTATTCAAAATGTTGACCCCTTTGTTGGGAGAGGTACCAGAAGGAGTGGACTGACCTAATTATGTGTTGATTGAAATATTGGGATGTGTGAAATATAAGGAGAAACGGATGCTTATTTCGGTTTTTTATGATTGTTTTTGTTATTGAAATCTTTGACCCTTTGTGTGGGAGATACCAGAAGTAATGGTCAGATCTCTACAAGATTTATAACAGATGTTGTGTTGATGGAAATATTGAGATGTACCAAGTCTGAATTGGAATCGGATGTTAATTTCGCGTTTTAAGAGCTTCATGGATATTCAAAATGTTGACCCTTTTTTGGTAGGGGGAGATACCAGAAGGAGTGGACCGACATTTCCCATCTTCACACCTGATTATTTGTTGATCTAAATATTGGAATGTGTTAAATATGGATTTTATAATTGTTTTGAACATTCAAAACGTTGACCCTTTGTTCGGGATAAATACAAAATTAAAGAAAAGGTCCGATCTGTACAATCTTTATAACAAATTTTGTGTTGAAAGAAATATTAAGATGTGCTAAGTCTGAATGGAAACTGCTGTTGATTTTGCGTTTTTTGAGCCTCATAGATATTCAAAATTTTGACCCTTTACGTGGGAGTTATTTGATGGATTAGGTCGATGTTTCCCATTTTCGCCCTGCCCTAACACTGATAAAAATATTGGGATTTGCAAAGTTTGCACAAAATTAGATGATATTTTCGTGTTTATGCGGCAAATCATTTTCTGCGAAATTTTTGACATTTTGTGGTGGAGGCACTGGAAGGAGTGGACCGATGTTGCCCATCTCCGAATTCGAACTAAGTTTAAAAAAAATTATTATGATGTACCATGTTTGGATCTAAGCGGATACTCCCTTCGAGAGTTATCGTGCGCACCAGCCAGACAGACAGGAGGAGGGACAAACACCTCTAGATCGACTCCAAATATCGTGAAACGGTTTTTTCCAAAGAGACCTAGGGTCTAAAACCGCTATTTCGATGAGGCACGTTTTGGCCCTATCAAATGATATATACCCTCCCTTTGTAGCGATATGGTTGAGGGTATAAAAACAAAATAATCGGAATTCAATATTGGATTCCCTTCCTATATAAAATTTTAATCATTTGAATTTAATAACAAGTAAGCAAAGGCAATAATCGTGCGGGACCGACCATGTGATGCCCTACAACACTACGTTGAAAGCCCCCTTATGCCCAAATCCATTTTGGAAGATTTAGCTTTTGAAAAAGTGTTATTGAGCCCTGCCCAGATGTTACCCCTAGCTTTTTGATCGGGGGATTGATGTTAGGTATCGACGGAGTGATGTTAGGTATCCAAAACAATTTCACACGAAAGTTGTGGTCCATTTTACAGCTAAATATATAGTTAAATGGTCATCCAAAATGCTAGACTTCTTCCTTGCCATTAATTCTCTCCTCATGTAAAATTCCGTGTCGATTTGTTTTGTGGCCTGTAGAGCGACTGCAAAATCAGGAAAATTTAAAATTTTTTGGTCCATTTGTACCCCTAAAACATCTTTTGACCGTAACCCTTCCCCTATCCAAATTTCGTAAGGACCGACGATATTTGCGACCTGTGTATACCCTCACCACGTAGTGTTACGGGGTTGTAAAAATTTAGAAAATTTGTGATTTAAAATTGTAAGTCAAATTAAAAAATCGCACGCGATAAGAAAATGTTGAAGATAGAAATATATATACACATTTTTCTTGGTATGTTTTTCCGCGATTTTCTTAGATTTCGTCCTTTTCTGGCAAGAGACCATTCCGAATTGATGGGAATTGTGGAAATCGGTCCAGCGGTTCATGGCTTATAGCAGAATAATATCTATTTCTTTTACATATATGTATATATTGTTCCATTTTGCTATATATCCGATATCTTGGCTATTAGCATCACTGTAATGGTCAGAAGTGAGCTTTTAATGTATTTGTGATTTGGACGGGATTAAAAATATTGACTGTTTAGTGGAAATTTTCGTATTTTGGACATAAAATTATGGTTTATTTTACCCACTACATATTGCCCGATGACCATCCAAATTGCAAAATTCCGCGCTGATTGGTTTATAATTGTGGCTTGTAGAGCAACAGCAAAATCAGAAAATTTTTCTGCTTTTAGTTCATTTAAACCCCTAAATATTATGCGATCATCTGGAAGAGCAATAGGTTTCTATTCTGGCTCTATCTCCAATTCCATTTCGTAAAGATCGGGCCATAATTGGACCTGTAGCGTAATTACAAATTAACATGGATAGACGGACATACATAGGTAGATCGACTCAGCTCGTTGAGAGCTGACATACATAATTTCCTATGTCGGGGACCAATATTTCGAGGTGTTACATAATTTTTGGCCCAATCAAACTTATAATACAGCCAACACATATTGTTGTAGGGTATAAATATGAGTCCCTTAGCAGAATTTTTATATGTGCGCGTTTCGTAAAGCCTCCAAATATTTTCAAAAAGAATTATCTAAAACAGTGACTTTCAAATTTGTAAAGCAGGCAAAGTCTCTAAAAGATGATGATCACTATACGTCCTTGTTTCGATATATCCCTGTCTTTAATGGTTCCTTCCTTTATCCGGATTTTTATGGTTCTCACCACATTGCATGTAGTATGATATTTAAAGTTCTAAAATGGTACTTAAATGTAAATACCTTAAAATGACGTTTGTCACTTTTAATTTTATTCGCAAACGTTTTCTTTTTCTAAAGGTGGAGGTGTTATAAATTCGGCCTGGTCGAACTTAAAAACTGTTTTAATCATCCTTTACAAAAACATATGTTTTCTTCCCTTTAAATCTCAAAGTTCCCCTTCACCCACCATCCTCTCAGTCAAACCGCAAAGCAAAAAAAATATAAAAACCACAAAACTTTAAATTAGATTATAATTTGTTTTATTAAATAACTTATATTTATGTATGCAACTTATGTACATTTGACATTTATACAAACTAGATAACATTGTGAGAACCAATAAAACAAAAGTAATAAAACCACAAACGTTTGGACGTGAGTTTGTTGCAGATCTGCTCCTTCTACTTCTCCACCATGTCTATGCAAATTACTTGTGACCGGAGCAGCTAATGTTCGCCACGGTTTATGATCCAATTTGCTGACGGTGTTCTGGTTTGACTTTATACATGCCATAGTTGAGACGCAATTGCTGCAGTTTGTCTTTGGTTAGTCCTTGGGCGAGTAAATGACTTTCGGCTTGGCTGATGAGATCCTGAATGCAATCGAACATTTGAGTGCTCTGCAATAACTTCTGGGACATGTATTTGTGACGGTATTTGGTTTTGGCTTTTTTGATTTTGTTATTGTAGCGAGAACGGCGACAAGCATCAGCACGTTGTTGTTGTTGATGTTGCTGCTGCTGATGGGACGATTGCTGTTTCAATGGCAATAAACTAGTGGCTGTGACAGTGGTGGCGGTGATGGTGTTGTCATTTGGCGATAGCATTACTGCAGCACCTGTTGGGTCCATGATTTGTTGGTACATTTGCGTCTGCTGCAATCCCCCTTGATGTTGTTGCCTTGTCACCGATTGCTGACAATTCACGGCAGTGGCATTGGTGCGTCTTTCGATAATGATGGGATTCTCCGATAGCATTTGTTCGACGTACTGTTCCTCCTTGCGGGCACAATTCTCCTTAATGCGTTCCATTTCCAATTGAACCATACGTTCGATATTCTGTGGATTTACGTACGTTGACAACATTGTGGCTGTGTTTATGGTTTGCAACGGTAAATCCTGTGTTAAGGATGTGTAAAAATGCTGAAGCATATAATTCGTGGATGCGTCAATGCTGGCATTGCAATTGAAGTTTTCCATATTGGCTAAAAGTGGGTTTCAACGTTGATTGGTGAGCAGTTGTGTTACACACGACTTGGTTGGCTGAACTGTATGAAATTCCGAACGCGTCATTGGATTTTATATTCTTGGCCATTTCGTTTTTGATACCTGACTATTTTGGGCGGTTTTTCTTTCGCCTACGATTCAGGTATCAATGACCGCCGCCGCCACCGTCGCCGCCACCGTCGCCGCCACCGTCGCCGCCAGCATTTCAATTTTCCGGATGCCTGATTTATGACTTTGTTTATGCATGCATCGCGTCTCGCGTTTTTAAGGAGTATATTCTTATTGACGCGTCATGTTTTGCATTTAATGGGAATTTCCCAAATAATGGCCATGAATGTGTTTTTGAGATTTTATTAATTTCAATTGGCTATATCCGTTAAGTAGTAGTTGGCTGAAAGTCATAACTTACAAAATAATCATGTTTAATTTCAAACTGATTCTACGATTTGTTATCAATCGGTTTACTCAAACTTTGACGATGAGGATCATTGTCACTGAACCGGATTTGAAATCAATACCAAAATTTATAAACACCCACCATGCAATGGGAAAAGGGTATATGATTTTTGTGGTTCTGTTTGTAACTCTTCAAAATAACGATTAGAGCCTAGAAATTCCTTATCAGCGAAGAATTTTTAGATATTTCATGTTCATATGGGGGTTAACAAAAAACTCTTCGCGATTTTTCATAAAGATTAGTGTAAAAATAACTTCAAATCAAAGATATCCGTACATGCTGTCTACACTCAAAAATGCTTACATTTTGGGTATATAGTGCCTTTGGATCAAATATTTTAACCTCCAAGTGTGTCACCTTTTTCAAGATTTAGCTAAAACCCACTCAAACGCGATCGAAGCAATTTAAAATATACCACAAATTCATTTGCCAAAAAAACTAATTGCGTTCTGTATATAATATCCTCAACTAATTGTTCAAATTGTGCAAATCCTAATATCTGTATTAGAGCTAGATAATGTGTAAAAAAGACAATATCGGCCCGCTCCTTCTAGTACCTCCCCCAAAAAATTTGAATAATCATATATCTTATAACATGTGAAATAAAAGTTCCATTGTCTTTAAAATTCGCACATTCCAATATTTCTTACAACACAACGGATAACTCCTTCTGGTACTTCCTCCTCAAAGGGTCAAAATGTTTAATAATCTCGCTCATAAAACGCAAAATGAGCATCGGATTCATCCACCAGCTGGCCGGACAGACGAACATGGTTAGATCGACATCGATATGTCCTTTAAATGTTAAATCGACTTCAAATATGCTTTTCGTAAAACCACACAATGACCCGACATTTTCCGATCGATCTGGCTATAATTTAGTATTTGTGGTTCTCGTTCAGTGCTTTTTAGGTATTTTGGAGGATTTGTAATATATTTTACTTTTAGATACAATTTTGTATTTTTAGATACTTTTTAAGATTTTTATCCTGTGGAATCGTTGTATGTTTTAGTGTAGCCTTTATGGGGGACGGAACCACTCTAATCTAAATATTTCGAAGATTTTGACAACATTTTGCAAAAGGTCTAAGTCATCGTATAATACCCATAGAATACAGCCTCCAGTCATTCCATTATTTTAAAGATTTTGACCACATTTTCCAATCGTATTGGCGCAGCATAACTCTCGAAGGGAGTAATAGATTTGGTCCAAACTCGTCATATTATTATCAAACCTAAATCTAGTTCGGAGATGGGCAATATCGGTCCACTTCTTCTGGTACATCCCCCAAAAAAGGGCGAAATTAAAAAAAAATTACGGCATGAAAAGAGAAGGGATGATCCGATTTTGCTCCAACTTTGCATATCCACTCGATCAACATTTCTATCAACACAGATCTGTTACAAAGATGGCAGAGATCGGACTTCCTTCTGATACCCACCCACAAAGGGTTACATTTTTGAATACGCAAAACGATTATAAAATACGAAATAAGCATCCAGTTGTCTTCATATTTCACATATCCCATAAATCTACTAACACAAGATTTGCTGTAAAGGTGGGATATGTCCTTCCTCCACCACAAAGGGTCAACATTTTGTATAACAACGAAGCTCATAAAATGCGGAAATAACATCCGATTCCTCTCAGACTTGGTACATCTCAATATTTCTATCAACACAAGATCTGTTATAAAAATGGTAGAGATCGGACCATTCGTTCTGGTACTTCCCCAACATTGGGTTTAAGGTTTTGAAAAACAAAACCCTCAAGGAAAGCGAAAAAACATCCAACTCTCTTCAAACTTCAAACGTACATACATTTTTGCTAATATAAGATCTGTTGTGAATATGATATATATCTGCGAACCCCTTCTGATACCTCACCCACAAAGGCTCACAATTTTCAATACTTTTATCTGTCATAACGTGCGAAACAAGTCAGCATGTTCTAAACATTTCTCTTAACCAGAAACCTGAGATGAATATGGAATTTATGATTTCGCATAAAATTGGATATAAATGTTCTATTTTCTTGTAAATTCGACACATACCAATGTTTCGGTCGACTATATCTGGTACATCACGCACATTTTAACATTTTCTAAAAATTATCACATATCTCATATATAGAGTGAAGGAATTAACTAATATAGTCCAAATCTGGCACATTGCAATATTTATATAATACATATTTAGGTCCGATACGAAAGGGACAATATTGGGCCATTCCTTCGGAACCCACTTCACAGAAGGTCACCAATTTGAATAATCATAACAGAAGTCAAAATATATTTAAATAATTCAATGTTTCATTTGCTACTAGAGAAGGATGTCAGAAGTTCCTCCTTGCCGAGTTATCCCTTTTTACTTGTGTTTTGCATAATTTTGCTTCTGAATTTCCAACTTTTCGATAGTATTTCCCCAAAACAAATCAGATATTTAAATGCGTAGTTTTGTTCATCGCAAAAGTTATATAATGTAGGTCCACTTTTTGTTTCCAAGGAAGTTTGAGGATAACCAATACGGCATAGCCGTACTTAACTCAGATTTAAAGTAGGGTACTTTCTTCGAGATGTATGACATTTACAATTTTTTACAAGTTACCCCATTTTGCAGCATTTTTTGAAGGTTGCGAATACTGAAATCTGAGGGAAGAATCTGATTGAGATTTGCTTTAGATAACCCACTTCACCATATCCGCCCATTTATCATTAAACTGTTAATTTTTTTCTTTGCGTTAAAAATATTTAGGGAATTTTTCTGATGAACGAAAATTAATTCGGGTGAAAAATATACATTCCTTTTTTATAACCTCCACCTTAACTATGTCATTCCGTTTGTAACATCCCTAGATATTGGTCGTAGACCCCATAAAGTGTATATATTCATGATCAGCACAAAATTCTAAGTTGATGTAACGATGTCCGTCTGTCTGTTGAAATCTCAGTACAGCCCACATTATTTGACGTAGAGCTTTAACATTTGGCACAACAATTTGTATTATATCTAGAATGGTTGGTATTGAAAATGAGATATATTTGTGCACGTTTTTGTATAGCCCTAGATAACAATCCATGCAATATAAAGTAGGTGCCCGTTTCGGTATGGCTCCATATAAAGCCCGACTCACTTTATGGTTTTCTTATAATTTTAAGTGCATTATCCATTATCACTTTTATATATAAATGGTGCCCAATGGTGGAGGGTTTAAAAGTTTGGGCTGGCCTAACTTAATGGTTTTTTACTTGTTGATTTTTCAAATGTTAGATTTTTAATTTAATTTGAAAATCACGCATGGAGTGCATGTTTTTCTTTTGAATACATATTTCTATCGTGGTACAGAAACACGCCCTTAGATTTTATAATAAAATCCTGCAGAATGTATAAGAAATGCCACCCTTTTATTTTTACTTAAAATATTAACTGCCTATCTTATTAGACAGTTTCTTCTCATCACCGGCGTTTTTAGCAACAACAAAAAATCTGTAACAATATTTCCAAGAAACGCTAACTGTCGACCAGATTAAAAACATGTAATCCGGGAAATTTGTTTACATCACCGTAAAAAAAAAACAACTCTTTTTTTCAAACATGCTCATACATGTTGGCAAAAAATCAACATTGAGATTATGTAAACAAAGGGATTAGCGGGGTAGTACCTACGCGTAAGTGAAAAACAAGCGCAGCATTCCATAGAGCAGGTACTGTAAATTTGCTTAACCATTTGACATAACAGTTCTTAACCCATATTTCAATACAGTTAAGAATAAAATATCACGTGCACACTTGCTTGGTGGTGTTTTCAAAAATTGCAATGTAAACAAACCGCTCAGGCAGGGAATGCAGTCGCGGCAAAACAATCATCGTCGTATGAAAGATTAGCAGCACGGCACATATGGTGAAAATTATGAAAAGATGTTGGTAAAATATTTTAAGAACTTAAAAAGGCCTGCTTAACTTTTACTATCGAGGAAAGGTTACAACCTCCGACACTTAATGGTCAGCAAAAACCAATTTAATTGAATAAAGAATACCAATCCATTAATTTATTCCCTATAACATACATTCTCTACAAATACCCTACAAAACTATTTAGTAAATATGTAAGTTTGAATATGCCAACAAGTCTCACGAAATTCGGCCTGAAAATAGGATTAAGATCACAATAGAAACCTATTTAGAGATGCTTGTAATATATCTAGGACATTGAATGGAACTAAAACCAAACATATTCCTGAATTTTCAGTCGCTCTACAGGTCACAATTATAGAATTAACAATTTTGTATACGGTTGGAGTTTAGGAAAAAGCAGAAGCCTACAATTTTGGATGCGGACCATGGACAATGGACCATAACTTTTGTGAAAACAAGTAAAAACAACATTAAGTTCGGCCGGGCCGAACTTTTCATGCCTCCTCCATTGGGTAAAGAAAACATTTTTATATGAAAGTAAGACCTTTAGGATAATGCAGAAAAACTTTTTAAAACACCATATGAAGCCGATATATGGGGGCCATACCAAAACGGGAACCTCCATAGACAATTTTGCCCTTCAAGGATTGTTATCTACCAAATCTTCTTAAATACCAAATTTGAAACAATTCCGTGAGTAAATGTGACTAGGGTTATCAAAATATGTTCTGCGGCCGGAGCTAGAACTCATTTGAACTACAAATACCGATTATGTGGGGGCTTTACGAAAACGTTGACCTACATAATCAATGATATGTCACCGAAGCCGGAACCCACTACAAACAACAAATACCATTGTTTAGAAAAATTCGTGGAAAAATGTAGCAAAAACATCAATGTACCAAATATCGTCCCTCATATGGGGACTATACCTTTATAAACAATATTCCGCCACCCAGAACCCATAACGAACAACAATACTAATTTTTGGAAAAATTGGTGAAAAAATGTTGCTAGAACTATCAAAATACCGAATATAGGGACCTACCGTTATAAGGGAGCTATACCTAAACACAATACAGGCTGCTGTGCCAAATTTTAAAAGTCTACATCAAAAATGTGGGCTCTACCGAGATTTTAACAGACAGACGAATATAAATTGACATCTTATGCTGATAACGAATATACAGGGTGAGATAAAACAACTACAACAAAGTCGAACGCCATAATTTTGACATTTTTTCTTTTTAATTTAAAAATGCCGGAAATATCATAAAATTTTAGATTAAGTTTATATTTGTTCGAATTGGTCACCTTTGGCACAAATTATGGCCTTGAAACAGTCACACGCTGCCCGAATGTTGCACCGCGGTATTTTGGCCCATTCCCGGCGAAGCGATCAAAGACATAGAAGTATAAAGATGGGACAAGACAGAGTCAAAATATTGTCACCAGGTGTAAATACCTCTGTTGTTACGATATCATAACAACATAATCACCAATGTTAAGTTGTTTTAACAGCAAATACAATATTCAAACGTCAGTGAAATGCAAGTTTTAGTTCAAATTTTTGGTTTACAGAAAATTTTATTCTTAAAATTGCTCTGTAAATATAATTTTTATGCTAACATGTCACTGTTGTGAGCAGCGCCTCTATATATTTTTCACATTAACTATTTTTCCATTATGCATTTTGTCCAGTCTTTACCATTTTAGGTCTTTGAAGCGATTGCTTGAGGTGATCGACACTTTGGTATTTTTTAGTGCCAACCTTGCTTTCCAAAATACTCCAGACACAATAGTCCAACGAATTTATATCCGGAGACTTTAGTGGACATTGTGCGCTGGAAATGAAGTGAGGAAACTCATTTTGTAAATATTCTTGGGTGGCGCGTGCTGAGTGCGATGGTGCTGAGTCCTGTTGGAATGTCCAAGGTCTGCGGCCAAAATGTTTGCGTGCCCAAAGCTTTAATACACCCTCCAACGAATTGATATCCGGAGATTTTAGTGGCCATTGTGCGCTGGAAATGAAACGAGGAACCTAATTTTGTAACCATTCTTGGGCGCGTGCTGATTGCGATTGTTGGTGTGTCCAAGGTCTGCGGCCAATATGTTTGCGTGCCCGAGGCTTTAATACTCCCTCCAGAATATTTTCGCGATAATATTCGGCATTTATTCTGATGCCACGGTCGATTAATACGAGCGGAAAGCGACCATCGGCTGTTATTACGGCCCACACCATCACCATGGCCGGTTCTTGAGTTCTGGTGACCAACCGAAGGTGCACATTTTCAGCTGACCTCTTTGGCAAGTAAACCCGATCATTTTGTTTGTTTACAAACTGATGGACAACAAATGTTTTCTCATCGGAGAAAACCAAATTCGGCAGTTCACCACTTTCGGCCAAGCGAAGCGATGCGGTCGGTGTAAGTTCTTGCACTTTTTGGAATTTCAATGACTTTACCCCGAGCTCATTTTTCAATATTTGCCGAATGTAATATTACGATATGTTCAGCTCACGAGCCATTTTTCGGACACTGCGACGCGGGTTTCGATCAAGTCGCTTCTTTACTTTTCGAACCATTTCTGCTGATGTTGCTGATTTCTTCCTTCCACTTCCGTAACGAGCAATGGTACGAGACACAAAAGATTTATTCACATTTAAATGCTGGAGCGCTCTAACGATAGCCACTTGTGGTTTTCCAGCCAAATGTAAAGAAATCACACTATCACGCTTGAATTCCATCACGAATAACTTTTCTTTATATTTTTTTTTTTTTGGAAAATTCTCACGAAAATGCTTTTGTACGCTTGTAAACAATATAATGAGCTGTCACTGGAATAATTTTAACAGCTGTCGGACAAGTAGCTTAGAAATGACAGCAGTCTGAAGTTGGTTGCAGTTTTTTATCTCACCCTGTATACTTTGTTCTGTCATTGGATCTACAACCCGTTACTAACTACAAATACCATTTGTTAGACAAATCCGTGACAAAAATCCTCAAAATACCAAATATTGGGAGGTACTTTACATGTGGTCTATACGAAAAGGTGGACATGTGTATATAATGTTCAACCACCGGAGCTGGAATCCATTATGAACTAAAAATACCAATTATTAGACAAATCCGTAAAAAATATGGCGAAATTCATCAAAATACCGAATATCAGAAGCTACCTTTATATGGGAGCTATTCCAAAACGTGGACTGATTTATCTCATTTTCAATACCAACTATCCTAGACACAATACGAACTACTGTGCATAATTTTAAAAGCATACATCATCGACGGAAATCGTTAAATCGACTTAGAATTTTATGTTGTATATATACTTTATGAGGTCTATGACGACTATTTAGGGGTGTTACAAACAGAATGACAAATTTAATATAAAAATTTACAATACTAATTATAAACTAATTAATTTATTGATTATTTATTAATTTTTTTTTATTTTTGTTTGTCTTTTAATAATTTGTTATTTATTTCGTTATTTAATTTATTTACCTATTTATTATTTTTTATTTATTTGCTTATTTGTTTACTTATATATTTATTTCTTACATATTTATTAAACTATTTATATATTTTGTGTTCAAATCCCATTTGATTTAAATTAATAACCATTCACTTGGGATTTAAATCTCTTTAATCTCGAAATAAATTCATAATAGCTATTTACTCCAACACAATCCGAACGGTACCTGCTGCGAACCCTCAAAGATATTGATTCATTCAGTTTCCCGCCTTTGTGGGACAAACATTTGTAAACTGATAAAGTAACACATTCGCATGCTGTTTATCACAGTTGGAGTTGGAATCTGCAACAAAAATATCATCAGTTATGTCAACAAACACAACAGATATCTCGGCCACAATGACTTGATAAACAAGTTGAGAATAACACAAAATGAAGATACATTAGCGAGTCTTATAAAAGTCCGCTTACTACTCCGTCAGCATGTCACTCGTCTAAGTAATTGCATTCCAATCGATTCGAAGGCACATTTCAATTCAGATTTTTTTCTTATCCACCTTCCACCACCTGACACCCAGGCGAATCCAATGCATCAACATAAACATCAACATCAGCAGGAACATAATTCCCATCACCATGAGTCGGCTCCAACTAACCTGACCAACACAGAGGGTATTTTATTGCAGCAGGCCTGGATGTCGTTGGCACAGAACCTTCGAATGCAATCCATCAGTAACTTTCAACATTTAGGTACTTCGTACATCGGGCAGATTGTGGAAATTGAAATGAAACGTTTAAAGGCCAATTGCAGACGTGAAGAGGAGCTGTATGTGGAGCAAATGCTTTTGGAAAATCCCATTGTTGTTGAAAGACGCAGCAGTATGTCAATGCCAGAGCAATCAACAAAAGCGGCAGCGGATGCAACACCTAAAACAAATGATGATGACGACGACGACGATGATGGTAATAATAATGGCCAACAACATTCCAACGGAAACGGATGTAGCAGCATCAGTTCCAACAACGGAGTTAGAAATGACACGGCCACAACTCTACTACTGCAACAGCAGCAGCAACGGGCCGAATCATGTCGTCGCTCTCGCATCAACAACAAAATTAAAAAGGCCAAAATGAAATTCCGCCATAAATTCATGTCGTCTAAACTCGTTCAGAGTCTCCGCATGCTGGAGTGCATACAAAAGCTGATTGACCAAACGGAAATGCAACTAATGAGTCAAGGTTTCACTGTCCAACAGCTGGAGAAATTGAAAGAGCTGGTCTTTTGCAATGGCAGCCTATGATAGGAATTTTAAAATAATGGAAATGACAAATGAAAACAAAACAAAAATGGTAATGAAATTAAGTCCCCAATGACGTTGTTGTGTAGAAGTTCACTAGGAGCTGTAATTATAGCTAATTTAAAAGTTTTATTTGTTTGAGAGCAATAAATTAAAAAATGCAATGCATATGTCACCTCTATTTTCAATTTTAAGGTTCTGTCTTTTTGTTTCTATGTTAAAACATGGTTTAAATCATGGCCTATATAAGGTCGGCCAGAAAGCCCATCCGACAACTAAGTTTCCTGTCAAAAGACAATTGTGATTTTAAATTCAAAAAGAGTCAAATCACAATAGTACAAAAACTACTAAGTTTATTGCCATATCGTTGTCGAAAGTAGTCTTCTTGGCCGACCTAAAATGTACGAATTTTCGTTTAGTTTTAGTTGGAACTTATATGATTCAAGTTTCAATCTAATTGAAGAATCGTAAAATGATTGGTGCATATGAAAAAGGATGATTCCTTATCTATTATCTTTTTGGCAACACTGGTTTAAACAGCTCACGCAGGATTCGTATTCTATTTCACTGTCAAATATCTTTATTTTGGTCTATCATTTAGACCCAACTAAGTATAAAATTCTATGTCGTAATGGATGCTACAGCCTATAATAGGAAATTGTCTGTGCATGTCCACGTCTTCGTATAGCCCTCATATAACGCTACCTCCCGATATTCGGTATTTTGATGATTTTAGCGACATTATTCACCGGAATTGTTTCAATTTTTTTATTTGAAGATCGTAATGGATACTACAGCCTAAGACAGAAAAATGTCTGTGCAGGTCCTCTTCTTCGTATAGCCCCCATATAACGGTACCTCCCTATATTCGGTACTTTGATGATTTTATTCACCGATTTTTTTTAAGTTTCGAATTTGAATATTGTAATGGCTTATGGCAAAATTTACCTATGCAGGTCCATGTCGTCGTATGGACCCTAATATAACAGCTACATTAGGTATTTTTAAGATTTTAACAGAATTGCCAAATTCGTTCCAAATGGTGAAGGGTATTCAATGTTCGGCCCGTCCGAACTTACAGTTTTTTACTTGCTTTTATTGAAAATTTGTGTTTGGCTCAATAATAAGAATCCTTTGTCAGAATTACCGACTCATAATCAGAATTGTCGACTTTAGAGTGAAGATCAGCCAAAACATTGAAAATGCTACCAATGAATCCAAAAAAAGTCACGGTTTGGTGCGGTTCTTGGAGTGATGGCACCATTGGACAAATCGTAACGTAACTGAAAATAATGAGCCAATTATTTTAATTTTTTATATTTCCCAAAATGCCAGGCTTAACTTTTATGACATGTGGTTTTAACAAAACGGTGCGTAACAATGGCTTTATTGACAGGTAAAATTTTATTTCACGTTCGGGACTGGTCTTTAGACTATTTTTGTGGGGCTATGTTAAAAGTCAGACTATTTTATATGGGGCTATGTTAAACATCATGTCAGACGAGTCCGCTTCATTTAACTCGTTCGAAACACCACTGAAGAATTTAGATATCGTACTTGGTAAATCTGAATATTTACATCAACACAAAATCCATTATAAAGATAGTAGAGATCGGACTATTCCTTCTGGTGCTTTACCCATAAAGGGTATAAGTTTTAAATAACCATATAATCAAATCCGAAATAAGCATCCGGTTCTCCTCATATTTCACACATCCCATTTTTTGTACTAAAACAATATCTGCTGTGAAGATGGTATATATATATCGGTCCACTCCTCATAAAACGCAATTCCATTCAGACTTAGTACATCTCAATATTTTTATTAATTTTCACTGTTTGTGGGCTCAAATATCGGATCGAATGAAACATAAATGGGAGCTATAGCCATATCTTAACAGATTTTCATAAAATTTGACATAATTGCTTCTAGGGTAAATCTGGATTGTGCTTGGGTCAAACCAATGGACTGTGGAAGGTTTTGTCTTAATCGGACAATTATTGAACTTGTTATTTGATTACAAAAATTCATGTACAGATAAAAATATTATAAGTCTAGCTCGGTTACTGTTGCATGTTAGAAGCAATTTCAAACATGTAATGTGAACAAGTAAAAAAGCAGCTAAGTTCGACTGGACCGAACGTACCCAACATTTTCAAAAAACATCCGGAAACTTCCATTTAAATGAAAACTGTTATATGGAGACTATTCGAAGACGTGGACCTACTTACGAATTTTTTTTCATAGGCTGTAGTACCCATTACAAACTTCAAATACCAAATTTGAAACAATTCCGGTGAATAATTTCGCTAAAATAATCAACCGAATATCGGGGGGATATACGGAAACGTGCACCTACACACGTTTTTTTATGGAATTTGAAATAGTTTCGTTGAATAATGTCGCACAAATCATAAAAATGCCGAGGTCCTGCATACATTTTTTTATCGTGAACCTATATAAACAATTCTCTTCCAGGGGGCAAAGTACTCAGAAGGAGCGCCTTGTGTGAATTTTCAGACAATTCCATTGAAAAACGTGGCTAAAATGATAAAAATATCGAATATCGGGAGAAGTCGTTATAAGGGAGATATACGATTTCGTGGAAATTTATAGAAAATGCTCTTTCAGGGAGTAAAGTACTCAGAAGGAACTAGTGGTGTAGAATTTCAGACTATTCCATTGAAAAATGTGGCTAAAATTATATTAAGTCCGAATATCGGGTGTACTTTTATGTGTGGGCTATATGATATCGTGTACCGATATATCCCATCTTCGAACTTGAAGACTGATCTGTGCAACATTTTACCCTCCAATCTTATTCCGTTTTGACTCGAACGAAATACGACGGATATACAAATTTTGATTGTTTAGAATTCGATGAGATGTCAATTTAATGACAAACTTAATATATACACCACACAAATAACTACTGCCATAATATCCTTTACCCTTCAGCGGACCCCCAGCAACACTTGACACAACTAAATTTTGTAATTAACATTACTATTTACAAGAACTTGGCTTGAAGGGCAATGGCTAAAATGTCGAGAGCCAAAAGTAGCAACAAAAAACAATTGTTTTTGACAGTTTGGCGCTTTTGTTCTCATGAAGTTCGGTGGGAAGGTTTCATAAGGTTTATCATAGCGTTTACAGTCAACAGCATCTTAATATCAAACCATAGATGATACATAACATGGACATGAGAATGAATTACATAATTTTAATTCGAAAGTAAGTGGCAACATTTTAGCCAGATACGACTTGAATACATATATAACGACGTCAGTCTACTGTAATCAATATTGCTTCCACGAAAAGCCATTAGATGGTACGTAATATGCCCCATTGGTTCAAATAACATAATAAAAAACTAATGACCATATATGCAATGCAGATAATCAGGCCGCTGATCAAACATATTATTGACTGCAGAATAAACCTTAAATCTTTTCTGTGGCCCCAGTCCCAGACCAATCGATGAGACTGCACTGTTGAGCAATCGATAAATTATTGTTGGTTTTAGGGCAGCCTTCTCTAAGGAAGCTAGATTGAAATGGCACTTGGAAACAGATTGAATGCATATTTGACAGATCGGATTTAGTTACAATTAAAATTTTTCTTTAAATAATTCTCATAGATATGATCCTGACACTTACGCTCTCTAGAAAATTATAAAAGTAGTGAAATACTTTTTGTAATAAAAATAACAATATTTGGTTTGAGCCAAACTTACCATCATATTCCAAAAATAGGTTTATTTATTTGTTTTGTCTTCAGTACCGAATCACATTGAACATTCGCTACATATCTGCGAAATCATAACACGAGAAAAATCTTCACACATTTTCATTATGGCATAAATTTGGCGATTTTTAAAAAAAGAATTTATTTTATATTTTTAATTTTCATTTGCTCAAAAACTTTATCATTATATTTGCCAGTCAATTTTAGAATATTTTTACAATTTCAAAAACGCGCGTTGTATTTCCCCGATATACCGAACGAAAAATTGCATTATATTTTACTAATATTTAAATTGATAAACACTTCGATATACTCTGATACAGCGACACCGACCGAAAAAAATGCAATAGTTTGTTTGCTAAATATTAGTTATTTTTGCGAATTTCTGCAACGAATGAAATATTCACATATTTTCATTTTGGCAAATATTTCATTTGCTTAAACGCCGACTGCTCAATATTCATATGTTCTGCCAATTTTAGATTATTCTAATAATTTTAAAAACGCCCGTTGTATGTTCCCGATATACCGACATTTGGCAATTTGGGTTTATTTGAAGTTTGTGAGCTCTGAAAATAAAAATAAAATTTGAATTATTTGAATCGCATAGTCGACTATAGTGGTAAATATTTGTAGGATTATACATTCAAGTTTCATTTTTCAAAGAAACTGAAAGGTACAAGAACTGTATTTACAACTCAAAATTCCTAGTTGGCAAATTTGGCATGGAAATAGCTATTAAAGACATAAAATCATAAATATTGGACAAAATACATCGTTGAGTTTATCCACTGGCCCAGAGCTAGCCGACGACCTGACAAAAATGCATTACATTACAGAAATATGTTATTCCAAAAACCTCGGAGGATTGAAAGATAAGGACTGAAATCCTGATTCCAGAGCATTTTCTGGTACACTGAATCGATAAAAATAGGAAATTCCCCTAATAAAGTCAGGTCCTTTAGATTACAACATAATGCTGTCATGTTACATTAACATAATATATTTTTATACTACCAACACTATCTACCGAATCAAAGCAACAGTGTGCCCATATAGTTACTTCACATTTCAAGCTCTGACGGGGAAAATATGAAGCTAAATAAACAATTGGTGTTGTTGTCCATGCTACAATAACTTAGCATACGGTTGGAATATTTGCTATTAAATATCCTTGCCATCAACAAAAAGTCATAGTTAGGGAATTACAATAATACTAACTCCGGCATTTATTAACAGAATTGAAATATGTAATAATTTTAAAAGCGTACATGCAAAAAATCATTAAGTCCGACCGGCCCAAACTTTTAATACCATCCACCTTGAGGTAAAGTAAACCTTAAAAATAAATGCATTGAGATTTAATATTGGTGCAAGTTCCATTTTTGCAGGAAGAATACTATATCTATTGTGAGTTTCATTACTTTCAAATTACTCAAATTACTCTCTAAAAGCCGAGATTTAAACAATTACGCGAAAATGTGGCTGAAATAATTAGAATATCGAAAGGTACCGTTATAAGGAATCTATAAGAAAACTTGAATCTATATAGACAAAGTATAGAATTCCTTATAGATTTTGCCATTTCCGTCTGTCTGAAGAAATGACCATAGATTCCGAAAGAGATTTAGTTTACTATTCGGCAAAGTTTTCGGCATAAGTTGAGTTTAGGGGCTATGCTTGGATTGACCTGAAATTTTTACCGCAGGTAGGTATTTGTAACCTGATTACGGCAATATAATTTTTTTGTGGGGGAAATACCCGGTTACCCGGTTATTCGACCCAAAAGTTCGGATACAACATCCGGTTTATATCCGGTTCTACGTAACCGATATCAATAATATGGGTATCATTTGAAAGCTTATGAAAATACCTATCCAACAAGTGGTCATATATGGGGTAACTGGAACCGGTTTCGGAGAAATTTAGGAAAATGTGCATTTTTGTATGAGTAATTTTTGAAAAACCCATAAAAACTCGAAAATGGACCCATTATAGGGTCTTAAAATCTATACACTATATTATAGCTAACACTATTGCCTTTCCAAAATGGTGTCATATGTGTTGATATCTTTTGTAGTTCCGAAGATATTGACTTTTAAATTCGTTACTTATGAAAGCAGTTTGAGTGAAGCCAAGTTTTGTGTCGGGTTTAACGTTCTTGTTAATCTGCTTTGTTTTTAATTTGGTGTTGTTAGAATATTATGGATCGCGTAGTCGGTGTTGGACATATCCCAGAGGAGAAAATCTTAAGCCGCGGCCGAAGGCCGGCTACTTACAAAAATTACAATTTTTAGAAAAACTATGGATCGCGTAGCCGGTGTTGGACATACCCCAGAGGAGAAAATCTTAAGCCCCGGCCGAAGGCCGGCTACTTTCGAAAACTACAGTTTTTAGGAAACTATTGATCGCGTAGCCGGTGTTGGACATACCCTAGAGGAGAAAATCTTAAGCCCCGGCCGAAGGCCGGCTACTTTCGAAAACTACAATTTTTAGAAAACTATTGATCGCGTAGCCGGTGTTGGACATACCCCAGAGGAGAAAATCTTAAGCCCCGGCCGAAGGCCGGCTACTTACAAAAATTACAATTTTTAGAAAAACTATGGATCGCGTAGCCGGTGTTGGACATACCCCAGAGGAGAAAATCTTAAGCCCCGGCCGAAGGCCGGCTACTTACAAAAATTACAATTTTTAGAAAAACTATGGATCGCGTAGCCGGTGTTGGACATACCCTAGAGGAGAAAATCTTAAGCCACGGCCAAAGGCCGGTTGCTTAAAAAAGCTATAAAGGTCAAAGTCAAATGCATCTAGACTGGAGAAAAATATAATTTAATGAATTCTATCTCTTATATCTTCGGAACCACAAAAGATATCAACACATATGACACCATTTTGGAAAGGCAATAGTGTTAGCTATAATATAGTGTATAGATTTTAAGACCCTATAATGGGTCCATTTTCGAGTTTTTATGGGTTTTTCAAAAAGTACTCATACAAAAATGCAAATTTTTCTAAATTTCTCCGAAACCGGTTCCAGCAACCCCGTCATATGACCACTTGTTGGATAGGTATTTTCATAAGCTTTCAAATGATACTTATTTTATTGATATCGGTTACGTAGAACCGTATACAAACCGGATGTTGTATTCGAACTTTTGGGTCGAATAACCGGGTAACCGGGTATTTCCCCCACAAAAAAATTACATTGCCGTAATCAGGTTACAAATACCTACCTGCGGTAAAAATTTCAAAATGATCCGAGCATAGCCCCTAAACTCAACTTGCTCCAAGTTTTCGAAAATTAAAATAAATCGGTACATTCGAAGATTCCCATAGTCAGAGGAGAAAAGCATATTCCACCAACGTTCTTCATTTTTATGCCCTCCACCATACTATGGTGGTATATTAACTTTGTCATTTCGTATGTAATTCCTCGAAATGATCATTATAGAGCCAGAAATACACTCAAATTCGATCTGCGTAAAATTCTATGTCGATTTATCCATGTCTCTCCCTCTCTCTATCAAATCACGCTTTCTTTCTAACGAATTGAGATAGAACTCTAACATTTTGCACATAAATGTATTTTTATCAATAGGCCATGTCGGCCCACGTTTTCATGTAGCCCCCATATAATGAAAAATGTCTACTTCCTGAAAAAATTCGTTAATTTTTTTTTAATTGTTCATTACGCCAATAAAACTTCTGATAAATCAATCAACTGTTAAAATGTTTTCCCCAATTTAAGACTTTTTTAAAGTAGCCGGATTTCGGTGTGGTCTTGAAATTTTCCCAATTTGATACTCATTTTAAGGTGCCGGCCGAACCGTCCGTTAGGAAAAAATGCTTAGTAAATTAAGGTGATATTCCATTTAATAGCAAATTCACAAAATTGGCATTTAGAAGAAAAGTAACAACAAAATTTAACCTGTTACGACAAGATACGACATAAAAACAGGATTGCGAAATATTATTACCGGCCTACAACGATCGGACACTGTTCTATTTCTTTTTTTTAATAATTAATTAATAATTGGTACTTACGTTATTTCCTTCAACATTCCATAACGTAAATGTGTATTTTCGCGTTGAATTCCAATTTAAAACACAAAACGCCTTCACTTATTGAGCAAATGAGTACATATTCGGTTCATCGCTATTCAGTAATTGGCATGCCTGCACCAATTGTTTGCAACACTACAAACACACACTCACACAGTAATATTTTACCGTTAATTTTTATAATGCATCAATTTACCAAAAAGAAACATAAAAAACGCAACAACACTACACTAGAATTTCACATTACATTAATTTCATTAATTATTTCACTGTTTATTACTTTTAAATAATTACCAATCTATAAAAATTATTATAATTGCATAGAAATTTAAGAGCACGACTTAAAAGCAACGACGCGAACATTTTTCTTACAAGACTGATACAAACGGCGCAATTCTACAGCGTTGCATTTTTCAACTAGAGCTGTTACTTGATCGAATTATCGTTATTCGATAACAAGGACGGTTTAGTAGCTGTTATTATTTATTTGTTTTTGAAGATTAGAAAATTGAAAATATGCAAAAGAAAGTTTTTAGAATTTTAGAAGAAAGCCTCAGATACAATTTAAATAGAACATTTTATAAAGAAAATATTTTTAGTTCATAATTTCATACCGCAAGGATCGAGCCCTTGCAAATGATTTATAATAGACGAAAATGTAATAAAAAAAATCTTCTTTTTATGGCAAGGGTCTTTCAATATCCTCGTATTTATATAGTATGTTGTTTTTATGGCATGTTTTTATATAGAGTACCATAATTTACAAGATAGGTCTGAGAAACACTCTGAATAATATAAACTAAATTAGGAGAATAGCAACTTATGTTATTAATTAAAAAACGTGAAGTGGTTCGTCTGTAGGTCATGCTTTAATGAATGCAGAAACTTTAAGCAAAAATCATACAGAAAAGTACACAAATTTGAGTGAAAATTGAATATTTTACGGTCATCTTTTAAATTTTCTATCGACAACTCAAAAATCGATAATCCGTGCAAGCCAGATTACCAAATATTTATAACAATTTATGGAGTACACGATATTCGGGTAATCGGAATTCAACAACTTTGGCACAATTGAGAATTTTTCTTGACAGACTGCACGAGCTGCTGAAATTTTGCAAAGTTTTATTCTGTGAAAACTAAATTAAAATAAAAATTAAGCAAAATGACTAACGCCTGGAGAGCTGCTGGACTTACGTAAGTAAACCAAGAAATTGAACAACAGTGCATAACTTTCCAAATGCTTTGACGGAAAACAAACAGAAATTACGTAATTTATGTCAAAGTACTTGGTAGAAACGCTATGCGGCAAGTTAATAAACTATAGCCTTAGTTATTGGAAACTTGGCATTTACTCTGCACATTCTTACCTAACCTTTCAGCTACATCCAATACTCCAACATCTGCGCCCGTGTAGTGCGTCAAGCCTTGAAGGGTGATTTGCGTGCTGAGGCTGCCAAACGTAACGAAAGCCATGTCAAATTCACACCATGGACTGATGGCAAACCAGCCCGTAAGTATCATCTAAACGTAGATGGAGCATAAATTGATTATTTTATTGCTATATAAATATTAACCTTATAAATTTCTTAAAAAAAAACATTACAGATGAAAAGTGAGATCTTTAAAAGTCACCATTAAGTGTCTTTGATAAGAACTTTTCTTTAGACATATCTTGTAAGTTGTAGACGTAGGTTGAGTGTGTATGTTCCTCCCAAAAAGTGTTAAACAGAAAGAAACTAACGATATGTCTCAGTCCCTGAAGATAAACTGCAAGTTTTCCAAATTTCTTCCTGATCTTAAATTTCCTTGCTCAAACCCCGTTCCCAACTTAACGTTTCATGTCGAAAAGTTAGTTATGTGAAATGTTATGACAATGCGTGCTCAGACAATACGCGCCATAATATAGAGTACAGCTTTGGAATTCAACGCTGCTCACCTTAATTTTACATGCTTACACAAAAAATCAAACATTGGAAAAACTTATATGAAATTGAATTTTACTTTCTCATCTAAATGCAGAAACATACGTCGATTCCCTTTCGAAATGTATAGTAATAAAACTCAAATATTTGCCTAAGTTTGTATTACATATTCCCTGTGTTGCAAATTCCAGCAAACAAACATAACACTATCTTGATTACCTAAGGCTTTCTAAAAAATGAAATTATTCCTCAAAACATACTAAACCATCTAAATTTAAACCATATAGAGCACACTTCCCGAAGCAACCCTCATCAATAAAAAATTTCCTGTTTGAATTATGTCGCAACTAATATTCTAGAATCTATTTTATTATTTTATTAATTCTGATTTTTTCGTTTATTTTTCAGCTCGTGCCCAAGCCAGCGAATAAATTTAATCATTTGTGTATTGGTTAAATATAAATTCCATCAATTCTTAATTCATCGTTAGCAGCAGTTTCCAACAAATAAATTTATTATAATTTTCGAAATGTTAATGCTAAAAGCAACAACAGAAATAAAACACAACAATTATTAAAAAAACAACAATCTTATATTTTTCTTTTTCTCTTTTAACTTAAAACAAAAATAAGGCACTATATTTTTAAAACATCAGGCAAACATTATCGGCAAATACAAATGCGGTCATATAGTTCATATATTTTTAAATATATCCATTACAAAAAATAAAATATTTCTCAAGCTTTGATGTCAATTTTTAATTGACTTTAAAACTCGGAAAATGTTTTTATTAAAACCCATAAGAAAAGATCGAAAAAATGCAACATTAGATGAATACATATCCATTAATTTAATTATTCTTAAATTACTTTCAAAAAAAAAACTGTCATTTTAAATTCGTTGTGTCCTCTGTGGTACTTTGATTTCGTTTAAGGGTCTGAGAAAAATTCTCATCAATTTCACCTGAGGGGGGTTCGTAAAAATGATCCCAAGTCTTTAGTTCCTCGTACAACTTGCCACCAGGGCTAGCGGTGCTCATAAATTGTCTATGTGCCATGAGTTTGAAATTTGGCGTTAAATGACCTTCATCGACACCTCTGTAAATGTAAAAAAACAAATTGTATTTTAAATTTAGCACGTTATAATAAATAATTGTATTGGGATTCAAAAGGAACAATGGGCCTATCTCGCTTCCTTCTCCATGTTACAAACAAATGCACAAAGACATAATACCCTTCGCACTATGTGGTGTAGGTTATAAAAAGTATTCGTATAGCCATTATCTGAGTGAAGGTTACGGTGGCATACCAAAGCTTATGAAGAAGCTATAGATTGAAACAATGTTCTTAAAATGCAAACAACGTTTCAACGTTATTTTGGAGGGATACCATTTCGAAGCCTTTCATGTGAATCCATTACATAAACCGCTATCATCATGCAAATATGTTAGCTACACTACGATGTTACATATCATTGTTACACTTCATTTGATAGGTAACATACAAACCTATCGAATGAAGTGTAACAAAGATGAGATAATTCTATTATTTCATTTAATTACACCCAAAAAACAAATGTATTGTTAAGGCATGGAAGGAGCCCTTACAATACTCAAGTAAGGTTTTTTTCCAAAACGTAATTCTATTTATGTCATTTTTTTGTTGAATCATACTCTTAGTTACCTTTTAAGTAAGTTCTTGCACGCAGTCAATGCTCGTGGTGGTGGAAGCTTATACATAAAAGTTCCAACGAAGGATATTCCAATTGAATATCTATTATAGCTAAAAGTATGCGCTCCCTCCACACCCCATCCCCGTCCCTCATACACGTTACCATCACAGCCAATTAAAAAGTTATAACCAATATCGTCCCATCCTCGGGTTTCAATGTGAAAAGTCTGAAAAGAGTAATATAATTAAATTTATTTTAGGTATTAAATAGCAAAATATGTATACAATAAGATTGGATGCTTATATCATTTTAGATATTTAATCACGATTGAAAGTTTAGAACGTGATAAATTTCGAATTGTGAAACATAATATAAAACGTTCACGTTCTCGTTTAATACATCAAAACAATTTAGGTTTTATCACATACAATGCACTTGTGCTAAAATGACATTAATTGGGTTACAAAACATATACCTACCTGTATATCACGAATTATACCAATATTTTTTGCTTGTTCTGTAGAGTCACTGGTGGCAGTGTGGGCTAAAAATGACATATGGACATGTTAATTGATTTTATGATTTAGCTTTGTGTTACAGCACTTAATATACTTACAAATAATTACTAAATCTGTTGGTACATCTATAGGACTGTACTCATTAATAGGATCCATTGCAAGCCACCGTGCTCTTGGAATTATTTGACAAGCAGGTCTATAGACTAAAGTATTGTGAAACATATGAATATAAAAATAGACATAATTAAAACTTCACTACTAACCTGGTGGTTTCTTTGGTGTTGCGTGCTTTCTTTCTTGTTTTATATCTGACTTATCCTCATCCAGATTTTCAGATGTGTCATGTGTACACTCACTTTCATTACCATCTTTATTAATTATAATATTGCCATTGATTTTGATAACATGTCCCATTATAACATTACTCGAATTTGAAATACTGAAATTGCCAAAATTTTGTTGTGGCATGTTGCTTACAATTTCACTTAATTGCCTTAGATCTGGACATGTTGTGCTTAGCTGGGTTATATCTCTATATTCTCTATCATCGGATTCTAGAAAATAAATAAAATGTGTGTTACATATCTGAGTATACAGTTGTGGAATTAGAACAGTTTACTTATTTGGAAAATAATCTAAGTGTGTTTATTGTGTGAAAATAGACCTGTCAATTGTAGAGGTTTTTGAAATGACTCTATGTTCTTGATAACTATACAGGGTGAGATGAAAAAACTTCAACAAACGTCAGACTGCCGTCATTTCTAAGCCACTGTTAAAATTATTCCAGTGACAGCTCATTATATTGTTAGCCTACAAAAGCATTTTGGTGAGAATTTTCCACAAAAAAAGTTATTCGTTATGGAATTCAAGCGTGATAGTGTTATTTACTTATATTTGGCTGGAAAACCACAAGTGGATGTCGTTAGAGTACTCCAGCATTTAAATGTGAATTAATCTTTTTCGTCTCGTATCATCGCTCGTTATCGTGATACTGGTAGCGTAGCCCGACGTCAAGGAAGTGGACGGAAGAAAACAGCAACAGCAGCAGAAATGGTTCGAAAAGTAAAGAAGCTACTTTATCGAAACCCGCGTCGCAGTGGCCTAAAAATGGCTCATGAGGTGAACTTATCGTAATATTACATTCGGGAAATATTGAAAAATGAGCTCGGAGTAAAACCATAGAAATTCCAAAAAGTGTAAGAACTTGCACCGCAATAGAAAGAAAATAGACTCGAAAGAGCTAAAGAGTTGCTTCGCTTGGCCGAAAGTGGTGAACTGACGAATTTGGGTTTCTCCGATCAGAAAACATTCGTTGCCCAGCAGTTTGTAAACAAACAAAATGATCGTGTTTACTTGCAAACAAGGTCAGCTGAAAATGTGCATCTTCGATTGGCCACCAGAACTCAAACGCCGGCCATGGTGATGGTGTGGGCCGCCATAACAGCCGATGGTCGCTCTCTGCTCGTATTAATCGACTGTGGCATCAGAATAAATGCCGAAAATTATCCCGAAAATATTCTTGGGTACGCAAACATTTTGGCCGCAGACTTTGGACATTTCAACAGGACTCAGCACCATCCCAAACAGCACGCGCCACCCAAGTATGATTACAAAATGAGGTTCCTGGCTTCATTTCCAGCGCACAATGGCTACCAAAATCTCCGGATACCAATCCGTTGAACTATTGTGTCTGAAGTATTTTGGAAAGCAAGGTTGGCAATAAAAACTACCAAAGTATCGATCACCTCAAGCAAGCGATTCACCGGGAATGGGCCAAAATACCGCAGAGCAACATTCGGGCACCGTGTGACGGTTTCATTGGCCGTTTGAAAGCCATAAAAGGTGACCAATTCGAACAAATCTAAACTTATCCTAAAAGTTGATGCTATTTCCGACATCTTTTGCTTTTATTCTATAAAATTTAAAAAAAAATGTAAAAATTATGGCGTTTGACTTAGTTGCTGTTATTTTATCTCACCCTGTATATGTTGAATTAAAACAAAAAAATTGAAAACTTATATAAAAATAAATAATCTGACTTAAGAAATAAATAATTTGATTAAACACAAAAACTAGCTGATATTACAACATGAAACCATATTTTGCCAGACTACTATATTTTTAGTTTGATGCTAACTGGGATTTGGAACAACATTGGCAAATGTATTCGACCCCAAATGTTTAGTTATATCCGACTATTTACCAAATAATTCAATATATGACAAATGATCGGTGTACTAAATGCTGGTGGACCGAGGCCAATTTTTCGAGGTGATACAAAATCTGAAACAGACCCCTTTACATAGTGGCCTAGGGTATGCAACTTAAATTTGATAAATTTTTATATATTTTTTTTAATATTTTTGTCGAAAAATCACATTTTTTGTCTTTTGAGCCCTTAAAATGGTTTCGAAGAGCATTTTTGGCTACGTCTCATATAATGTCTTTAATATATTCAAAATTGTGTTCAACAATTGCTCTAGAAGCAGACATAACAGCATAGTATCAGAGTCGGGCTTGGCAAAGCAAATTATATAATTACCAACTACCTCGATATCTTCCAATGTTGATTATGCAAGAAGGAATGGATATGATATTGAATTTCCATACATTTTTGAAGATAGTATTCTTGGAAACAAGACTGTCATATATGAGGATATGGGCTAATATATCCATATCCATTCATTACCGATTTTATTATGATTGAGATCTTATATTTGAATGTGAAACGTCGTATATTTGTATGTCTAATCATACAATAATACAATGTCTAGTGATTAGCGCATCGCATAACATCGAAGAGCTGTCGGTTAATGGGGCCATTAAACAATGCTTCAACACGAAAATAATTAAATAATTGTTAAATTCTCGATTTACGTGATGAAAAGAAAAGACTCAATTAGCTTGTACTGTCTATTTATATATTTACCTATTATTTGGCCTGGGATCCGTGTGCCGAGGGCATGCTCTTCGCCTGATTCTGAATCCGAGTCGCTGGAATCAATAACACTAGATTCAACGGTCGAATCATCAACTGAGTCTAAATCTTCCAGGTTTAGAGAATTCAGCCAATTCCTGGTTTTCTCCTCATTAATTCGCAGACGATCATTGGCATTCATGGTTACAGTATTGTGCGATTTTCTTATGAATAGTGAAATTTCTTCCACACTTTGTTTTTCTTCTTATTTTATCTTATCATAACTCTTATTGCGATCTCAAGTCAAGTGTGGCGGACAAAGATGTTCTCAGCTAAGAAAAACTTGCGGATTTTGAGTTATGATTTAGATTTGCATTGATTGTGCAGTATAGAGAGCTTATGTTGCGTTTAAAATCTACATTAATGGTGAGGTTTTGTATATTATATCGGAGATTTTTTTAACTCGCAATTAAAAATCTCTTGTTTATAAAACTAATTATTTGTCACAGGGTGGCACGGAATAACAAATTTTATTGTCATTCTTGCTATTTATCGATTTCGATGATAATAATAGGTGTGTCTGGTTACTTTTCCTGCAGGAATTGTCCAGCAAAATCTTTCTGAGAGAGTAAGGTAGTTTTATTCTCTTTTGCAAGGAAAATTCGAAAAGTAAACAGACGGTATTCCTGCAAAAGCTTGCAACTAATCAGCTGATTTGTAAAAACAAACCAATATGTCCCCTATTATAAAAATAAAATGAAAGGAAGGACCACAAATTTTACAAGTTTTTTAAATAAAAAGGAAATTAGCAATTAAACAAAAATATCAGCAATAAAAGAAATATAGATTTTATGTGTTCCCCGGAGTCCTTTCAATTTGTTGCTAATGGCGTTTGTCTAAAAACCTTGGAAATAGCCTTTTATTTTTTTATTACATATTAATATTTACGTTTTTCACATTTTGTAAAGTTTATCTCAAAAAACAATTAGTCTTGCCCATTCCAAAAAAAATATTTTCAAATTGAAAGCACAAAAAGAAATAAACAAACAATAGAAAACATCTGATTGAATGTCGATGAATGTGAAGAAGAAGAGTTGCAAGTGATTGCAAGAAGAAATTTTTCCAGCAAGAATTTGCAAACTCTTACTGAAAGAACTGTCAAAGTGTCTCTCTCCGACCGCTCTCTTTTGCAGAACTTTTGGGTTAACAGACGACTTCCAGTAACAATTTGTAACAATTGTTACCAATTTTAGGGTAACCAGACACACCTAATAATGCCAAGTATATTGCGGCCCATGGATTGTCGTCCGATCATAGTAGCAGCACCACAATACATTTTCTTCTTGTGTTTTCCATACAAAAGGTTTATAGTTGTGTTCCAGAACCTGCAATATAGTACAATATTGAACAAAATGTTTAACCGGGTAAAATTAGAGGGCAATCCTTAAAAATCAGGTCCATGTCTTAAACATACCAAAAATGAATGTTGTAAAATTTGACTATTATCAAAATTTACCCGATTTTTATAATTTTCTATTGAAACTTTTGTTTTATTCGCCTCTCATTTCAACAAAAGAAAAAGAAATTGTTCAATTGTCAAGGTTTGAAATTGCTAAACTTCGAAGTTTCATATGAATGTGTCTTACTTGTGTGGTGAAAAACGTCGACCGAGTACGTTGAATGTTAGATAACGCTATTAGTCAATCAGCATATGCCAATCATAGTATGGTTTCAGAACCTGCAAAATAGTACAATATTTAGCAAGTTTTACATTTTTATTCCCACCACCATTCTATGGAAGGTATATTAGCTTTGTCATTCCGTATGTAACTCCTCGAAATATTCATAATAGACCCTCAAAGTATATACATTCTGATCAGCGTAAAATTCTAAGACGATCTAGCGATGTCCGTCTGTTGTAATCACGAGCGAATTGAGATAGAAGGCTAAAATTTGCTTACATGCATAAGTTACCAGTAGCCAGGTTAAGTTCATAAATGGGCCATGTCGGTCAACGTTTTCGTATATTTCATGGTTTTATCGACATTATTTACCGGAACTATTTCATATTTAAACATCGTAATGGGTACTATGACAAAAAATTTCGTATGCAGGTCCACGTCTTCGAATAGCCCCCATATAACGTTACCTCCCGATATTCGGTATTTTCATGATATTAGTGACATTATTTACCGGAATTATTTCAAATTTTATATTTGAAGATCGTAATGAGTACTACAGCATATGATAAAAAAGTTCATATAGTCCCCATATAACGGGTTTCATTTAAGTTGTAGTTTCCGGATTTTTTTTGAAATTTTTTAAGTTCCTTCCAAATTTTGGAGGGTATTAAAAGTTCGGCACGGCCTGCTGCTTTTTTAATTGTTTTACTTGAAACCCGTTCCCGTACATGAAAACTCAGTAACACATACAGGCCAAATGAAGAGGGCATAAATAAATACGACATTCTCTATTACGGAATTTTACCAGGCAAATTTGGTCGAGTAAAAAAAATTCTAAGTGTACCCGTCATCTGACAATTTTGTGTAATATTTTATGTTTTGAAAAAGAAAATATTTTCATAATCAATGATTGAAAGAAGCGTATATGGCAATTTTGCCATGGAATTAAAAGATTGGACAAAAAGGAAATCGAGGCATTTCATTAATTTAATAATTTTAAATATGGAAAATATGAAGTAAATGGAAACAACTTGTTACATTTAATTTAGATTAGTTCTGACCATGGTAGAAGAATAGAGATAGTCGCATCGATACAACTGCTGGTACAATGAACTGTCAAAGCAATTTTGGAATTGAAATTGTTGAATGAAAAATTATTCAAAACCTCCCCTTGTGGTCGTATAGGAAAACACATACAAATCTACTTATTTTTAAAGAAAATTTGACTTATCAATGTTCCCAAACGTTGATGCATCTACCTGTATTATTCTACCATGGTATTGACAGAAAGTGGGCATAGCCTCAGGTCTGAATTTCTGTAGTTTTACCGAACTTACCACGATAAAAACTATTTTATACATTTGTATAACAATCCAGGGATTTGTGTTGCTACATGTTAGAAAGGGTTTTTGATGGTACAACCGACGAATGAATAAAATATTTATAAAAAAACGTATATTCGAGGTTTTACCAACAGAATGATAAAATGAATGACATTCCCCATACAGAACTGAATAGCCTATACAAAACCAATTATTTTATAAACATGGACTGTCATTTCGTATCAATTAAAAAAAAACAGTCATACTAGAAATCGCTTCTCAAATCAGCTTTGTTTATCTTCATCATAAAAATGTTCCCAGTTTTTTATCTCCGCAAATAATTGCCTTCCAGGACTTTCCGAACAGATACATTGTTTGTGACCCATTAATTTGAATTCCTTCGACAAATGTCCCTCGTCAACGCCTCTAAACATGAAAAAGTAAAAAAAAAATTGATCATACAACAATTACTTCATCATTTCAATAAATCACTTACATTTGTAATAACTTCTTACATGCCTGCAAAGCCTTTTCGCTGGGCAATTTAAGCATAAAATTCCCAACGAATGCTATGCCAATCGATTTTCTGTTATATCCATATGTATGTGCGCCGACGACACCCCAACCCCGTCCTTCATAGATATTTCCATCGCATCCAATTAGAAAATTATATCCTATATCGCCAAAATCTTGACTCCCAATATGATAAGCCTGAAATTGTTATTTTTTAGTACATTATACATAAGCAAATTACATTTTAAACTAACCTGTATGCCTTGAATGATATTAACATTTGTTAATTTATCATTAGAACTATTTGAAGCAGTGTGAGCTAAAAAAGACAAGGAATCTTTTTAATTAACAATGTAATGAAATAAATAAACGTATTCATACATATTATTACAAATTCGGTTGGTTCTTCTAAGCTTAGGTATTCTTCTAAGGGCTCAATAGCTGACCAGCGATCTCGGGATATTATTAGTTGTGGCGTTTCAGAGTCTTCAGATAAATATAAATAATTAAGTATATGAAAAAAATAAAGAAATTTAAAAATATTCTCACTTTTCGAAGTTTTTAGAATAATATTCTTATTCTTCGTTTCCCCTATTTTATTTGCTATTTCCTTGGATTTAGATTCTCCACATCTTTCATTGTTGTTGTGAACTTTCAATATGAGATCACCTTTAATCTTAACTATATTACCAACAACCACATTGGAAGAATTATTTATGCTAATATCACCAAAAACTGGCGACGGCAATTGACTTAAGAGATTATTCAGACTTGTTATATTGTCACTTTCAAGTAATCCTGAAATATTGTTGTAATTTTCATCCTCATCTACGGTGGCTAAAAATGTAATATATTAACTTTATATTTATATTTGATTTTTGCAGCTCTTACTTGTTGATTCGCAGACGCTGGTCTCTTCTATAGAATCTACAAACGACTCTGTATCAATATCGCTTTGTACATGACTATTTTCAAGCCATTTTCTTGTATTTTCTAAACTTATGGGTAATGTCTCTTGGGAACTGTAAGACTGCATTTTAAATAAACTTGGCGATTTTAATTCAGAAACAAATTCAGCTCTAATCCGTATTTTCTTCTATGATAAACTGATTTCCTTTGTTGGCTGAATCATATTAAACGTGTATGATTATACATATATATATGTGTGTGTCGAAGTGAATGTTCTTCCCCTGAGAAACAAAATGCAACATATAGCCCAAGTTACATTGTGTCATTGGTGTTTAAATGTGGGACACTTTAAAATTTTTAGGTCTTTTTAATGATGACGAAAAATATATTTGAGACACACAAGGAGAAAATATATTTTGTTCATGAAATGAATAAATATATAACAGCATTTATTTTGATTTTGAATTAAAAATTGGTTTGAGAAAATTAATTATTTTAAATTAGTGTATTTGGATGATACTTATGAATCTAAACAACTAAAAATATATTAAGGTTACCTCTTCATTTTCGGTATTTTTAAGATTTTAAGTCACAATATCCAGCGAAACTAGTTGTAATTTCAACATTTTGATTCCAAGCACGTCGTGGTTTTTCGATTTTTATTATTTTTCTCTATTTTTAATAACTTTATTTTCGCTTGAGGTCAATTGTAAAATCAATGTTTTATTTTTATTTTCCAAAGTCGTCTTCATGGAACAACAATAAACAATAACAACAAAAATTTACTTTTTTTTAAAAAGAACAAGTAAAAAAGCTGCATGTTCGGGCCGAACTTTGAATACCCTCCAACATTTGGAACGAATTTGGCAATTTTCAAAAAATAAAATCCGTTAAAAATTCTGTTAAAATCTTAAAAATATCAAATGTAGCCGTCATATTAGGGTCTAAACGACGACGTGGACCTGCATAGGCAATTTTTGTCATAATCCATTAAAATATTCAAATGAGAAACTTGAAAAAATCGGTAAATAATGTTGCTAAAATCATCAATATATGACGGTTCTTTTATTTGGATCTAAATGACGACGTGGATCTGCATAGGCAATTTTTGTCATATTCCATTAAAATATTCAAATGAGAAACTTGAAAAAATCGGTAAGTAATGTTGCTAAAATCATCAATATAGGGCGGTACTTTTATTTGGGGTCTATACCAAAATACCACAGGCAATTTTCCGCAATTCCGGTGAATAATTTCAAAATCATCAAAATACCGGATATCGGGAGTTACCGTTACAATTATATCAATACAATATACACAATTTTCTGTCTTAGGCTGTAGTAGCTGTAGCTTTAAATACCAAATTTGAAGTAATTCCGGTAAATAATGTCGCTAAAACCAAAAAAAGATATGTATCAAATTTAACCAAAGTAACATATAAAAGGATAAGGAAAGCATCATCCGAATCAAATTAGCAAAATTATTATAAACTTCCAAAATATATCTTTTAATTCAATTTTAAAGGTTCTATTTCAGAACCTGCAAAAATCTTCTCTTTTTGCATTTTTTTCGATATCATACAGGGGAAAATCGGTTATCATAGTAAAAACTTTTACATTCTTGCAGTTCTGGAACAGACTAAGGTAGATCTAACAGGTAACCGCATCGGCGAATTGCTAAACAAAGCAACTTTTGTGGTCCCCTCAAATGTCAAAATTGGCATCTAAGGCGAAAAACATAGATTCGCCATGACATTTAAAGGTTGCGGCAAATTCGTTTCAACCAATCAGAAACGAGGTGTTTGTTTACATTTTATTTTGTGTGCCTCTCGTCGTAAAGGAACGTCGTTTTTATTGTTAAAGAAATAAGAGTAAAATAAGTATTAATTGTAGTATTGCGATATTTTTTAAACCAAGAAACTTATAATGACTATATTTTACTGGTTTAAACCGAAAGTTTTCCGGAACTGCAAATGACAAGTGTCGAATTCTTGTACTACTTCCCGTGATGTGATTTGGGAATCTTAGATGTTGAGGCTAACTTAATTCTTAAAGCTGCACTCCATTCTAACCTCCTTCCTTCATTTTCTTTTAATTTTTTTTACTGGTTTCACTCTTAACTTGCTCTTAAATTATTTGAAATATTATAAAAAGGTACTTTTAGGGAACACAACATAAACAAATTTGCTGTTGCATTTATTTAGGGCGAATTCTTCATTACAACAATTTGTTTTGACATTTAATGGTGCCGTCAGCTGGGCTGATGCGATTACCTAGTACATCTACCTTGTTCTGATGTGTACTAAAGGCCGATTAATCGGAAATCGACTTACCTATCCCTATTCTCACAGCGGCTTATTATTAAATTTTTTTTGTTTATGTAGGGGTCAATTTATTTTATACTAAAGTTATAGATAAAAGACAATAGAATTAGTTTAATAGTCATTATGAGTGAGCCAGAATCTGCCCAAGACTTTCATGCTACACGTTTAGAAGACAGCAGCAGCGGCGAAGATGACACAGATATGCATGAATCTGTGAAACATCAAGAGCAGGATGAATGTCCTCCAAGCACAAATACAAATACTGGTGCCGCTACTTCTAATGAATACGATGAAGATGAGTGGAGAGAAAATGAATTCGAAAATCCACCCGTTGATGGAAACATGCGTGTCGTTGCATCTCACTACAACGAACTAAAGGAGTCTGGGAGAACAGAACGAGTGAAATCCCGCATTTTTCATATGCGTAATTTTAATAATTGGATCAAGTCCCAGTTAATCTCAGAATACATAAAACGAATTAAAACTAATCAACGTATGGGTGATCCAATGCGAGTATTGGACATGTGCTGCGGCAAAGGCGGGGATTTGCTCAAATGGGAAAAGGCCATGATAACACATTTGATATGCACCGATATTGCCGAGGTGTCCGTGGAACAGTGCAAAAGGCGATATGAAGACATCATTCGAAGAGCAGAACACTCGAAATTTGCCCACAAATTTACCGCAGAATTCTTTGCATGTGACTCTACACTCGTACGGTTGCGGGAGCGTTTCAAGGATCCATCGCTCAAACTGAATTTGGTTTCGTGTCAGTTTGCGTTTCACTACTCTTTTGAATCATTGACACAAGCTGATTGCATGGTTCGAAATGCCGCAGAATGTTTACAACCTGGAGGTTTCTTCATAGCAACAATACCGGATGCATTTGAAATAATGAAACGTTTACGAGCTTCTCCTAATGGTCGCAGTTTTGGAAATGAAGTCTACAATATAGAATTTTGTTCGGATACAAATCCACCGCCATTTTTTGGTGCAAAATATCAATTTCATTTGGAGGGTGTGGTGGATTGTCCAGAATTTTTGGTACACTTCCCAACGTTGGAAAAGTTGTGTCGCAAATATGGCTTGAAGTTGGAAAGAAAAACTACTTTTGCCGATTACTTTAAAGAAAACATGGATAATGGTATGATTCCTATTAATCACTGACTTAACTAATTAACTAATCCCACCTTACTTGTAGGCCGTAATCTTTTGCAGCGTATGAGTGGTTTAGAAACTGTATATCCAAATCGTGTTGGAAATGATGAACAGTATGAACATATCAAACGTTATTGTAAAGGCAACACTGGAAGGCCATATGGTTCACTTTCGAAAAGTGAATGGGAGGCAACTAGTAAGTAATAGAAACTACTTGAAATGTCTGTGTTATTTGTTGCATTAGCTAGTACTATTTTGCCAATGTTTTTGCTACAAATACCGATTTCGGAATTTACTAATGCTACGCTTGCACAAAAAGAAAGGTTTTTCAATTACATATTAATATAATTATTTCTTACATCTATTTCAGCTCTTTATCTAGTATGCGCTTTTCGTAAGTGCAAAAATACTTGGGACTCCCAAGGAAAGCCGGTGTTCGAGTTTGATTGATCTGTCTTTGCTTAAATTAAATAACTATGCCTTACATCGAACACTAGAGCAACCAAAACATTTTTGTTACAAATAAAAAAACAAAGACAAAAATATAAATGTATGTTTTTAATATTTTTTTATTAATGAATGCAAGTCAGATCTACCTAATTAAAAGTTGGTTTTATTTCTAAAAAATCTATTATCATTCTTTTATTTAAATTAACAAAATATTACTTATTTTTTAAAAAATGAAAATTTACTGCAACAATATCAAATAGTGTCGTTAAGTAATTTTAATCCTATCTTCTTTTTGTAAAAGGGATTAATGGGACTGGGCATAGCATTCGGCTTCAAAAGCCCTTTGCCGGGTTTCTTTTTTGCATCGTAAGGTATGTTGGGCGAGCTTTTAATTTGCTGTATATACTCGGCAGGATTCTGTGAGGTGTTGTGTTTAAGCGCGATTTTAACACGTTTTGTGCCACCAGGCGTACTGGGAGTGTTTGCCGTTGATAACGAAAGTTTTTTCGAGTTCAGGGGCGTGGATTGTTGACTAGCACTGAGACGGCTCTTTGCAAGAGGATTTACTACCAAATCAGCGTTGGCTTTCTTTAATTGTAACTTGCGCGATGGTAGAAAATATTCGATTTCACCTTCGGCCAATGGTTCATCCCATTCGTTCAATGGGGTTGAAGTTAGTGATTTTTGCGACTTCTTGCTTTTGGGCGTAACCTGCTCGTCGGGATCAGATATTTTTAAAACTTTTGGTTCTTTAGGTTTGGCTTTAGGCGTTTCTGGATGATCTTCATTTCCCGAAATTTTCAACACATGTGTCAGTTTTACAGAATTTTTTGGCGATCCATTAGCACTTTCCGCTAAACTTTCGGGTTCTCCCTCTTCTTGTTTGAATGCCTTTTCCTTTTTTGATTTTTTATTTAATTTTGCATCGCCATTTATTGCAACATTTTCGTTTGCATTATTTTGTTTAGCTTTTTTCAATTTTTTGTTTTCGGAAGATGTGTTTTCTTTTCCATTTTCCTTTCCCTCTTGTGTGCTTTCCACATCTTTTTTGGATTGTTTATTTACTTTCTTTTCGCCATTTGTAATGCCTTCTAACGATTTATCTAATCGTTTTTGTTTCTTCTGTGGTTCACCCTCTGTTCCGTTTTCTGTCAACAACTTTTGTTTCTTAGGCTTCTTTATCATATTCTGGTTCGTGTCATCATTTTCCTTCTCTGTTATATTTTCATGTTTCTTTGCCTTTTTTGGTTTTATATCTGTCTCATCCAGCTCCTCTTCTATCCATCCAGCCATAAATGCTTTTTGAGACTTCTTCCTTCGTTCTGCCAGATAATCCTTTGGCAAAGCCTTTTCCAATTTCTGTTCATAGTTGCTTTCATCAATTTCATCGTAATTGAGTGATTTTAAAAGCTTTCTACGTTTACGCTTTGTAAGCTGTTTCAATTTCCTATCAACTCCATACAACTCATTCTCCAAATTTTCTAGTTGTTTGATTTTATCCTTAATTAGGGGCACCTCAGATTTCTGGTCAAACCTTGGCATTGTCTTAATACCCAGAGGGAATTCGCCATTTTGATATGTCCTAAATGTCTCCACGAGTTTCTTTAGCACCTTGCGACGTTTAGTAGCACATTCTTCTTTGTATAGGAAATTTTCCAAATCTTTAATGATTGGTTCAGCATCTAAGGGCAATACCGGCATAAACACATCCACGTTACCAGCACGTGGATCTAAATGTTTATTTTGATTGTCATTTTCTTCGTTTTCAGCCTGATTTTCATTGTCGTTCTCCAACTCCTCCCCGGCATCTTCTTCGTCGTCTTCAGATACTTCGCACTTTTCTAAATCATCAATATGTTTGGTGGGGAATCCCATTTCTTTCCATGCATTGTACTTTTCGGAATATTCCCGGCCCAAATCGCTTTGATACAATAGATGATAGAACACTCTGGTGCGACAATGGGAAATCAGTTGATAATCTTTTTGTGTAGTTGTGAACGCAACAAATGGTTTCACAAACAGAGCCACTTGCTCTGCCGAAATATTCCCTTCAGAAACTTTGGCCAATTCTTCAAAGAAAATATCCAAATAGTGCATAGTCAAACCTTTCGCAACCACATTCTCGAAGAGAACAGTTTCGGTAGCATGCTTGTTGAAGATTTCGACCGCATCTTTACCCCAATTACTCGCTTTCAATATTTCGAACATATAACGTAGCATACGTCTAGTTAACATCATAAATTTATCAATACGCCACTGATCGATGCCGAACCAATGAATACACATGGTGTTAAGGAATGCGCCAAAGAAATTCACACTCATTCCCAAATTTCCTTCAAAGCAATCCAGCAGTTTGCCATACTGTTCGGCCAAGTCTTCTTGTACGAGCGGTTTGTCGGAATACCACATATTATAGTAGAGACCCTTCCATATTCTCATAAAATCCTCTTGTTGAAAGGGGAAAGATGACTGAGAGCGCAACTGCAGCCATCTGCGTAACTTTTTCATTTGTTTATTCCTTTTGTTAAGATCATTGCAGGCCAATGATTTTACAATTTTCACTTCTTGAGCAATAATTTTTATTTCTTTTTGCACTTCATCCTCCTGTTCGGCACTGTCGTCGGCACCGCCTTCATTGTCCGATTCCAATTGTGCAGCAATATCCTCGGCGTTGAACAACTCACGTTTAGGTTTTTTAACCTGGCTCATTACTACCATTATTTGTTTGACTTGGCCAGTTAGTATTAATTTATTATTATTTTTATTTATTAAAGAACGAGGTTTTATTTGGACACGGTACACCAACACGTGTTCTCTAACAATCAATACAATAAAATCGCCTCAAATTGGTGCGTTCAAGGGTTGCCACACAGGCCAAATGCCGATTATGATTATAGGAATCGTAATGCAACGTTGTTTTATTGGCAACATTGTCCAATTCAAGAAATGTTTCTATCATGGTACAATGAATTCAAGGTAGGACAAAACTACCATATGATTTAAATTTTTTTATTTTTCTGGCTTAATATGTCAACTTCATTTTCTCATTTGTGTGTCTTCTTTTCAATAATAAACAATTGTTCAGAAAATATTCAAATTCGGGTGTTTTTAAAATGCTTATTGCAACGAATGCATAGACAAAATCTACAGTTTTTGTCGCGAAATAAACCATAAGAGATATATAGAACATGATATTGAAAAGAAATGTTGACCATTCATTCAGTTTTAGCGGTTTTAAATTATTTATTCAAAATCAATGCAACAAGTTGTTTGCTTTTTTATTGTTTTGATAGTAATTCTGACATTACAAGCCAAACAGATAGACCTCTATACTTGCAATTTTTTTAAAGTTGACCTACCTTCTCTTCATTGCACCATGGTTTCTATATGCTCGGTTGCAGAACTTGAAGGTTCTGCTATTTTCGATATCATAAAGAAAATCCCTATCGTAGTAACAACAGGGCAATATAAAATACATCAGTCTGATCATGGTACAATGAAGAGAAGGTAGGTCAACTTTAAAAAAATTGCAAGTATAGAGGTCTACCTGTTTGGCTTGTAATGTCAGAATTACTATCAAAAAAATAAAAAATCAAACTACTTGTTGGATTGATTTTGAATAAATAATTTAAAACCGCGAAAACTGAATGAATGGTCAAAATTTCTTTTCAATATCATGTTCTATATGTCTCTTATGGTTTATTTCGCGACAAAAACTGTAGATTTTGTCGATGCATTCGTTGCAATAAGCATTTTGAAAACACCCGAATTTGAATATTTTCTGAACAATTTTTTTTATTATTGAAAAGAAGACACACACATAAGCAAATGAAGTTGACATATTAAGCCAGAAAAATACAAAAATTTAAATCATATGGTAGTTCTGCCCTACCTTGAATTCATTGTACCATGAGTCTGATAAATCATGTTACAATAATTTACAGGGTGAAAACCACTAAAAATATATAGACCCGTGCCCTAACAATTGTGTTGCATACAAAAAGACCATCTTTCTCATTATAATCGAGAATTGTGTACGTCTGGCGTTTTACGTTTTCCGGTATATATACACCAAGTTATTATTATACTATTATTAGTTTGATTGAGCCAAAAATTATGTAACAACTCGAAATATTGGTTTCCCACATAAGATCTTTCTATATCGCCGAGCGCCGTCCGTCTGTAAATGTTAATTTGTAATCACTCTACAGGTCTCAATTATGGCTCGATCTTCACGAAATTTAGTGGTTGAAATGGACAAAAGTCAAATTTTTCATTAAACCGCGGATATTTTTAATCCAATTCTGACCGTTACGTAGATGCCGATAGTAAATATATCGGATATATATAGCGAAATATATACAATGTGTATATACAAAGGAAGGGGATGTTAGCTAGAATGCTTATATCTCAAGAATGGCTGTCCTCTTATAAAAAACCTAAGGGTGCAAGCACATAAAGAGCTTGAAGTCATGGCTAGGCATATTTTGTGACATTTTATAAAGGGATTACAGAGCCGCACTAAAATCCTGCCTGTTTTCCATTATAATTTGACATTAATATGCCTAGCCATGACTTCAAGCTATAATGATGTTAATATTGAAGTATACATTTTGTAATATTTTTTTCACCTTACAACATAGGTTGGAGTTATTATATATTATTATAGATTGCAATTATCGTCCGATCCTCACGAAAAAATTCAAAAATCCCAAAATGGATATGGACATAAAGGGGCTTCTAACATATTGGAGTTTTGGTAGGGTATCACATGGTCGGCTCTGCACGACTTTAGCCGTTTCTTACTTGTTTTTTTTTTAAGGAAAAATCTGTTATCGTAGTGAAATTTTTTACATTCTTGCAGTCCTGGAACATGCAATTTACTTACAGCTTACGTTTTGAGTTCTTCGGAACACTGTTCGTAAAAGTAAATGTTACCATACTTTGTTTATTTGTTTTTGTTTTCAATAACAAAAATCAGCTGTTATGTGTACAATTACTAGCCACGTTTGTTTATTTTTACGCTATTTAAACAATTAATGAATTTATCAATTAAATTATTTAATTCCCTAAATCTACAACTAAAAACTAAACGTTTTTTAAACATTGGAATTTCAATGGCCTGTAGTCGATATGAATATGTCAAGGATTATGAACGGGATGATAGTATACTACCAAATGTGTGGATTGTGATTCGTGTTGATGGAAAGGGATTTCATAAATTCTCCAAAGTACATGATTTTGAAAAGCCCAATGATGAAAAAGGTAAAGAACATTGTTACAAAGACATCTGTTAAATTAATAGACCTATACTTCTAGCCTTGAATCTTATGAACAATGCCGCTCAGACTGTGATGGAAGAATTTCGCGATATAATATTATCTTACGGACAAAGCGATGAGTATTCATTTGTGTTTCGCAAAGAAACTAATGTCTTCAATAGGCGATCCTCTAAATTGCTGTCATATGTGACGAGCTTGTTCACCTCCTCATATGTCATGAACTGGCCCAATTGGATGGGTGATATGAAATTACAATATCCACCATGTTTCGATGGACGAGTTGTCTTATATCCTTCAGATCAAAATCTTCGCGATTATTTGAGTTGGCGTCAAGCCGATGTTCATATAAACAATCTATACAATACAGCATTTTGGAATCTAGTGTTAAAAGCCGGTTTAACAAATCAACAAGCAGAAGCGGAATTAAGGGGAACTTTTTCAGCAGATAAAAACGAATTGCTGTTTTCACGATTTGGCATAAACTATAACGACCTACCTGCCATGTTCCGAAAGGGTACAATATTATTAAGGAAAAAGGTAGTAGTGAACAAAGACAATGCTAAAAGGCAATTAATTGTACCTATTCACGAAGATTTAATACGTGAAAAGTTTTGGAAAACTCACAGTGAGCTGTTAGGAAAATATAAACCAGGTGAATATGACAATGACGAAAGACCCAATGGCGACAAATTGCCTGAACTAATCTCACGACAAATAGCAAATATAAAATTGGATGATAAAGAAAGCTAGTATCTAAAACTTATGTAAAACCAAATAAAAAATAACTTTATTAAAGTCGAATATCTTTTGGCTTCTTATTTTATATAATAAAGTATAAGAAATATGCCTGTGCCGTAAATGAGGTGTAAATGATCAATTGATTATTTAAGATATGGTACTAAGTACGGAACTCAAATAAATTGTTAGTATTTGTTTCATAATGAATGCCAGTTTTATTGAATACTTATATAAACCCAAATAAGAAAAATTATTTTATTAAACTAAAACCCTCGGCCTCTTCTGCTTTCTTATTTTGTAAAATAAATTAAAAAATATCTTTTGGCTTCTTATTTTATATAATAAAGTATACGAAATATGCCTGTGCCGTAAATGAGGTGTAAATGATCAATTGATTATTTAAGATATGGTACTAAGTACGGAACTCAAATAAATTGTTTAATATTTGTTTCCTAATGAATGCCAGTTTTATTGAATACTTATATAAACCCAAATAAGAAAAATTATTTTATTAAATTAAAACCCTCGGCCTCATCTGCTTTCTTATTTTGTAAAATAAATTAAAACATATATGCCTGTGCCTTAAATGAGGTGCAACTCAAATACATTTTTTAATATATATTTACAAATGAATGCCATTTTTATTAAATTCTTTCTTTAAATCATAGAAAAATGTGACTTTTACATTATATTTTACGTATACCAAAATCGATTTTACGCAAATTTATCTATAGAAACTGTAAATCTACTTAATTCTTAGTACTATTCGTTCTTAATCATAGGCACGCTTCTAATAATCATCGTCGTCTTCGTCATCATCCTCTTGCATCTGTCGACTTTGTTGTACCGATGAAGCTTGCATACTCATCCACTGTTGTTGCTCCTCTTGGGCTTGTTCCTCTCTGGCCTTGGCAAAAAGTTCCTGCTGTTGTCTGAGTAATTCCTCCTCTGGTATGCCCAAATTTTCAAGACGCGTGCTTTGTCGACGCCGTTTTGCTGCAACTTCTTTACAATCGTTGAGCACCGCCTCTGCTTCCTGTTTATAATCTTTAAATCCCAGACGATCGAGCGCTTCCAAAACATGTTCGGCATTAATAGTTTTCTTATTTCTAACATTGCATACTTCATTAGCTTCGGAACTAATGAGGTGTATAAATTCAGAGCAGCAATTCAACAGAAGCTCGCGACTTTCGTTTGCAACACGCACACATGGAACTAATTCCTTGATTATTTTGTTAATGCTAGCACGTGGTAATGTCAGTTCGTCATCTTCCGATGGTGGTGGACACAATTCATCCTGGGGATTGCTCATATTTACTTTACTTACTTGTTTTTTATGTTTTTTAAATACAAATGCAATCAATTCTTCCAATTCTTATAATAAAAAAAAACGTCCCAACGAAGCGAATATAAAGGCCAAAAAGCAATGCTTGATAAAAAATAAACAGAAAGCAAAGACTCCGGGTACTCTGTTGTTTACGAATGAGACATGAGAGAATTGAACATCTTCACTAAAGAGCTCAGAACTATCGGGACTAGGTACGGCAAAAACGACTACAACGATAACTCAAAGATACACCCTGTGAAACAGGTTGGCTTTGTCGTATGGCGCAATAAATAATATAAGGCAATTACTATGTCAATGAAAAAGACACAAATTTTTTGTTTCTATGGACAAGTAAAAAGTTGGAAATTCATTTCACAAAATTCTGCATTCTCATGAAATGAAAAAATATATTGTGTCATGGTACAATGATACAAAGACCTAAAATGGTAAAGACTAGACAAATTGCATTCTGAGTAGATGGTTTGTGTCTATACTCTATAGAATAATAGCTCATTACAGGGCCATGTTAATATAAATACCAAATTTATAGAAAAATATGACAAATAAAAGTTTGAAAAATCCAAAAATAGGATTTCAAAATTCTATTCCATAGACTTTCCCAATTAATTACATATCGCCTAAGCGGTTTAAATCACCTAACATTGCTAACTATGTTGCATGGTAGAAGAATATAGGTAGACGCGTCGACACAGCTGCTGGGACAATGAACTGTCAAACCAATTTTGGAATTGAAAATGTTGAATGAAAAATTATTTAAATTTGCAAAAATTGATGAAAAACGCGAATTATAATAGCCTCCGAATGACGTAGTATAAGAAAACATATAAAAATTTACTTATATTTGAAAAAATATTTAATTTTTTTTGACATATCAATGCTCCCAAGCGTTGTTGCATCTACCTGTATTTTTCTGCCATGCTATGTTGTTACGATATCATAACAACAGAGGTATTTTCACAGGGTTGCCATATTTTGACTCTGTCTTGTCCCATCTTTATACTTTTATGTCTTTGAATGATATCAAGATAGGGCTATGATACCAAATATTTTTATATTTATACCATATCTTTATTTCCAAATTCGGGTGTTTTCAAAATTTTTATTTCAACTTATGCATCGACAAAATCTAGAGTTTTTGTAGCGAACTAATCGTTTAGAGATATATAGTACATGATTTTGAAAATAAGTGTTGATTTTTCATTTAGTTATCGCGTTTTTCAATTATTTATTCAAAATAAATGCAACAAGTTGTTTAATTTTTTATTGTTTTGATACTAATTCTGTCATTACAAGCCAAACAAGTAGACCTCTATACTTGAAATTTTTTCAAAGTTGACCTACCTTCTCTTCATTGTACCATGCATTGTGTAACGTATATTCTATATGAAATATTTTTGTATTTTCACGCCGAAGCCCCGATTTAAGCTTGGATTTACTTTAGTCATCGGCTGCCTTCTTCATACAAAAAAAGTAAAAAAATTTAGTTCGACCAGGACGAACTTTTAATACCCTCCACTTTGGGTAAAGAAATAAAGCGTTTTATGTATTGCCACATTTGCACATATGCAAATTCATGCCAACATCGTTCGATGCGAACCAGAAACTATTGTACATAACAATAGAAGAGAGCTACCCCCAAAATACAATTTTTTTCTTTTGGTGCCCTCTGTCAAAACCATGGCAGAAGAATACAGGTAGATGCATCAACGCTTGGGAGCATTGATATGTCAAAAAAATTTAAATGTTCTTTAAAATATAAGTAGATTTTAATATTTTTTCTTATACGACGTCATTCGGAGGTTATTATAATTCGTGTTTTTCAACAATTTTTGCAAATTTAAATAATTTTTCATTCAACATTTTCAATTCCAAAATTCCAGCAGCTGTGTCGATGCGTCTACCTATATTCTTCTACCATGGTCAAAACATATACACATTTTGTGTATATGTGTGTATTGTTTTGAATATTTCAAATTTGGTTGCAAAATAAATGCATATTTCGACATTAAGGATGACAGTTTGTATAATTTTTGATAAAACTGTATTGCCCTACTATTTTAGATTCCATCTTATGAAATAACCCCTAAATTCCATCCATGTTTCGCGGGTTTTTTTCCCAATATAAAAATTTTGTAAAAAAAAAAACAAAGCCAACTGTTGCATATTTAAAAGTCTATTTGACTCTATAAGACTCTAGCACAGAGGTGCATTTTTCTAGTTTCTTTGAGGTAATTGATTGATTCAGGTGATTGATATGCCCTACCTTTGAAATTATTGTACCATGGGTTCTAATACTGATATGTAGTAAGTTCCCGATCTGCAAGAATGTAAAAATGCAAATTACTACGATGAGTTTATGATATCGAAAAAATTGTAAAATATTAGATTCTTGTAGGTTTTCAAATGGAGCAATAACAAGTAATACTTATATAACTGTGGCGATTTTTTTCCAATACCGACAATGACTGTAACTTTCAAACGCAAAATGTTTATATAAAATATAACAGCAATTTGACAACATTCTGACATTTAGTAAGGCAATAGCAATACGGTTTAAAAATGAATTATAAAATATATATGTAAACAATTTTGCAATATCTCATCTCGTCTGTTCTGTTTCTAAATGGCTTTTTAAATTACTACTTCAACTACCTATTTTAATATTTCTTGGTTCAAAGTTGTATCCCCTGATGTCTTTCACACAATTACTTTCAGCTTTGCGTTCTGCTTTTATTTTGATAGTAAAGTACATTGTTATGCATTCGTTCACGGTGGAGTACAATAACCAGTTGCAGTATTAGGTATTGAGCTCATTACAGGGCCATGTTAATATAAATACCAAATTTATAGAAAAATATGACAAATAAAAGTTTGAAAAATCCAAAAATAGGATTTCAAAATTCTATTCCATAGACTTTCCCAATTAATTACATATCGCCTAAGCGGTTTAAATCACCTAACATTGCTAACTATGTTGCATGGTAGAAGAATATAGGTAGACGCGTCGACACAGCTGCTGGGACAATGAACTGTCAAACCAATTTTGGAATTGAAAATGTTGAATGAAAAATTATTTAAATTTGCAAAAATTGATGAAAAACGCGAATTATAATAGCCTCCGAATGACGTAGTATAAGAAAACATATAAAAATTTACTTATATTTGAAAAAATATTTAATTTTTTTTGACATATCAATGCTCCCAAGCGTTGTTGCATCTACCTGTATTTTTCTGCCATGCTATGTTGTTACGATATCATAACAACAGAGGTATTTTCACAGGGTTGCCATATTTTGACTCTGTCTTGTCCCATCTTTATACTTTTATGTCTTTGAATGATATCAAGATAGGGCTATGATACCAAATATTTTTATATTTATACCATATCTTTATTTCCAAATTCGGGTGTTTTCAAAATTTTTATTTCAACTTATGCATCGACAAAATCTAGAGTTTTTGTAGCGAACTAATCGTTTAGAGATATATAGTACATGATTTTGAAAATAAGTGTTGATTTTTCATTTAGTTATCGCGTTTTTCAATTATTTATTCAAAATAAATGCAACAAGTTGTTTAATTTTTTATTGTTTTGATACTAATTCTGTCATTACAAGCCAAACAAGTAGACCTCTATACTTGAAATTTTTTCAAAGTTGACCTACCTTCTCTTCATTGTACCATGCATTGTGTAACGTATATTCTATATGAAATATTTTTGTATTTTCACGCCGAAGCCCCGATTTAAGCTTGGATTTACTTTAGTCATCGGCTGCCTTCTTCATACAAAAAAAGTAAAAAAATTTAGTTCGACCAGGACGAACTTTTAATACCCTCCACTTTGGGTAAAGAAATAAAGCGTTTTATGTATTGCCACATTTGCACATATGCAAATTCATGCCAACATCGTTCGATGCGAACCAGAAACTATTGTACATAACAATAGAAGAGAGCTACCCCCAAAATACAATTTTTTTCTTTTGGTGCCCTCTGTCAAAACCATGGCAGAAGAATACAGGTAGATGCATCAACGCTTGGGAGCATTGATATGTCAAAAAAATTTAAATGTTCTTTAAAATATAAGTAGATTTTAATATTTTTTCTTATACGACGTCATTCGGAGGTTATTATAATTCGTGTTTTTCAACAATTTTTGCAAATTTAAATAATTTTTCATTCAACATTTTCAATTCCAAAATTCCAGCAGCTGTGTCGATGCGTCTACCTATATTCTTCTACCATGGTCAAAACATATACACATTTTGTGTATATGTGTGTATTGTTTTGAATATTTCAAATTTGGTTGCAAAATAAATGCATATTTCGACATTAAGGATGACAGTTTGTATAATTTTTGATAAAACTGTATTGCCCTACTATTTTAGATTCCATCTTATGAAATAACCCCTAAATTCCATCCATGTTTCGCGGGTTTTTTTCCCAATATAAAAATTTTGTAAAAAAAAAAACAAAGCCAACTGTTGCATATTTAAAAGTCTATTTGACTCTATAAGACTCTAGCACAGAGGTGCATTTTTCTAGTTTCTTTGAGGTAATTGATTGATTCAGGTGATTGATATGCCCTACCTTTGAAATTATTGTACCATGGGTTCTAATACTGATATGTAGTAAGTTCCCGATCTGCAAGAATGTAAAAATGCAAATTACTACGATGAGTTTATGATATCGAAAAAATTGTAAAATATTAGATTCTTGTAGGTTTTCAAATGGAGCAATAACAAGTAATACTTATATAACTGTGGCGATTTTTTTCCAATACCGACAATGACTGTAACTTTCAAACGCAAAATGTTTATATAAAATATAACAGCAATTTGACAACATTCTGACATTTAGTAAGGCAATAGCAATACGGTTTAAAAATGAATTATAAAATATATATGTAAACAATTTTGCAATATCTCATCTCGTCTGTTCTGTTTCTAAATGGCTTTTTAAATTACTACTTCAACTACCTATTTTAATATTTCTTGGTTCAAAGTTGTATCCCCTGATGTCTTTCACACAATTACTTTCAGCTTTGCGTTCTGCTTTTATTTTGATAGTAAAGTACATTGTTATGCATTCGTTCACGGTGGAGTACAATAACCAGTTGCAGTATTAGGTATTGAGTATTGACAGTAAATATTAGTAGTTTTGGTGAACATAACATATTGATAAAAGTTATATTTATTTGTAAGTAAATAACTTTTTTTTTTCCCCATTGATTTCAAAAATATTGTATTGTATTTACTGTTATTTGGAAAAAAAATCAGATCAATAAACATTCACCGTTAGCCGGCTTGACATTTGACAGCAGATACTTTGCAAATATTTCATGCCCAAAATATCATCGCTGCCAATTCCACCTATCTGACTTACATAAGAGTAGCCTCTGTCAGTGTGTCAGTCGTGTCGTGAAAAATTCTGGTAAAAAAATTCCAATCTGTGTTTTGCATAATCAATTTTTTTTTGTTTGGAAGAAAAATTACCTAATTAAACGAATTTTACTGTTTCATTGCATTTTAGCCAACCACACGGAACCTTCGAGCGATAAACAAAATGTTTTCCCAACGTGCTGCAACTTTATTGGTCCCTTTGGCCGTTGAGGCTACTTTGCAGGCTCAACAACAGCGTGGTATGGCTACCTTGAAAGCCATTTCCATTCGCTTGAAGTCTGTTAAGAACATTCAGAAGATTACGCAATCCATGAAGATGGTATCAGCTGCCAAGTACTCGCGTGCTGAACGTGACTTGAAGGCTGCTCGCCCCTATGGTCTTGGTGCCCAACAGTTCTTCGAAAAGACCGAAATCCAATCTGATGACAAGGCTGAGCAAAAGAAGTTGTTCATTGCCATGACTTCTGATCGTGGTTTGTGCGGTGCTGTCCATACCGGCGTTGCCCGTTTCATTCGTAATGAAATGAACAAGGATTCCTCCAACACCAAAATTATCTGCGTTGGTGACAAGTCACGTTCCATTTTGTCTCGTCTTTATGGCAAGGATATCTTGTTTGTCGCCAATGAAGTTGGCCGTTTGCCACCCACATTCATTGATGCTTCTCGCATTGCTCATGAAGTTATGAAATCCGGTTACGACTTCACCGAGGGCAGCATCGTTTACAATCGCTTCAAGTCTGTTGTGTCGTACCAATGCACCACACTGCCCATCTTCAGCTCGAACACAGTTGAAAAATCCGACAAGTTGGCTGTCTACGATTCCTTGGATGCCGATGTTATCCAGAGCTACTTGGAATATTCCCTTGCATCTCTCATTTTCTACACCATGAAGGAGAGTGCCTGCTCCGAGCAATCTTCTCGTATGACTGCTATGGACAACGCTTCCAAGAACGCCGGTGAAATGATTGAGAAGTTGACATTGACATTCAACCGCACCAGACAGGCTGTCATTACCCGTGAATTGATTGAAATTATCTCTGGTGCTGCTGCCTTGGATTAAACATCCAATTTTGCTGTTACTAGCCAGCCTTAGGCATAATGTAATTCGAAACAAAAATCCATAAACATAATTTTAAACGAATTCCAAATTCGAAAAAATTCTATGCCAAACATTGACTGCAATTTGCCAACAAGGTTTGGTTAATAATAAATGATTTATTCACATGAGAAACAAAATACACTGAGTTATCACCACGTAAAGTTTAAATAAATATAACATGAAATGTGTAATACACCTAAAACAAAAAAAATTGAATTATTTCCAATGCTGTGGTTATAGTGAAATGTAAATACAATATGATGTTTTGGATGGGTAGTATCGGTATTACTATACCATATGAATTTTTTGTGAAAAACTGCTTAGCTGCTTAAATATTTTATATGAAAATTAGTTGCGACAATAGTGAGCATATCTTTTGTTATATAAGATTAATTAATTCATAACATATTTTTGCTAGATTTTTGCAAATGTTTTCCACTTTACTTAATGTTTGCTAATAACTATCCCACACCACTCTGTGGTTAAGGTTAAAAATAACGCCTTTTACATGTAAGTAGGAATCGAAATACTTAGAAAAACGTTTACGTTCATGTTCAGAGAATTCAGATAAAATTCCTCTATATATCTTCCTACCATTTCCGTTTAACATTTAATGATTACAATTCAACTATTGAACAGTAAGCAAACAACAAAAATGCACCTCAACATTATGGGTATTCTGTGTAAAAGTGGTCTTCGTCTAATTCGTACTGGCTGCTTCCTGTTTCTTCGTTGAATTATTTTTAATCCAATCGTTGCGGCAGTACCTCTCTCTGCCTATATGTGTTTTCGGTAGAAGCAAGCAAGCCAATCATTGCGATGGTACCCTATGCCCTCCACAATGATATATAAAATATTTGCATTTATTATCCAAACATGTTCCACCGTATTCCCGAAGGAACCGTACTATAGTAAAATGTAGACAGTATGGAATCCGTTACAAATTCTAAACACCAAATTTGGAAAGATTCTGAGCAAAAATCCTAAAATAGCGAATATTAAGAGGACGCTATAGGAAGAATGTGCCTATGTATGGGTGAAACCCATTGCAAAATCTTACCATTAAATTTGAAACAATTTTTTGAAAAAAAAAATCGCGAGGTGCCTTTGTATATTCTGCCAACGATCCTAGATAACATTAAGAACAACAAATACCGAATTTTAGACAAATCCGATAGGAAATGTGACTTAAATGGTCAAAATAGGAGGTATCCGAAGGAATCATTGCACGGAAGCTGCAGTAAACAGTAGAAATACAGGGTGAGATAAAAAAAACTGCAACAAAAAGTCAAACGCCATAAGTTTTACTTTTTTTTAATTTTATTTAATGGAAGCAAAAAATGTCGGAAATAGCATCAAATTTTAGAATAAATTTAGATTTGTTCGAATTTGTCACCTTTGGCACGAATTATGGCCTTCAAACGGCCAATGAAACCGTCACACGCTGCCCGAATGTTGCTCTGCGGCATTTTGGCCCATTCCCGGCGAAGCGCTTGCTTGAAGTGATCGACACTTTGGTAGTTTTTAGTGTCAACCTTGTTTTCCAAAATACTCCAGACACAATAGTCCAACGGATTGGAATCCGGAGATTTTGGTGGCCTGGAAATGAATGAATGCCCAAGACACCCTTTAGAATATTTCGCGATATTATTCAGCATCTATTCTGATTAATACGAGCGCAGAGCGAACATCGGCTGTTATGGCGGCCCACACCATCACCATGTCCGGCGCTTTAGTTCTGGTGGCCAACCGAAGGTGCACATTTTCAGCCGACCTCTTCGGCAAGTAAACACGATCATTTTGTTTGTTTACAAACTCCTGGACAACGAATGTTTTCTCATCGGAGAAAACCAAATTCGGCAGTTCACCACTTTCGGCCAATCGAAGCAACTCTTTAGATTTTTTGAGTCTATTTCTTTTTGTTGCGGTGTAAGATCTTGCACTTTTTTGAATTTCAATGGCTCGGGATAAGTTCATTTTTCAATATTTGCCGAATGGAATATTGCGATATGTTTTCGGTCACTGCGACGTGGGTTTCGGTCAAGTCGCTTCTTTACTTTTCTAACCATTTCTGCTGATGTTGCTGTTTTCTTACGTCCACTTCCTTGACGACGGGCTACGCTACCAGTATCACGGCAACGAGCGATGGTACGAGACACAAAAGATTTTTTCACATTTAAATTCTGGAGTGTTCTAACGATAGCCACTAGTGGTTTTCCAGCCAAATATAAATAAATCACACTATCACGCTTGAATTCCATCACGAATAACATTTTTTCTGGAAAATTCTCACCACAATGCCTTTATACGCTTGTAAACAATATAATGAGCTGTCACTGGAATAATTTTAACAGCTGTCGGACGAGTGGCAAAGAAATGACAGTAGTCTGGAGTTGGTTCCAGTTTTTTCATCTCATCCTGTATAAGACAATTAATTGTCCGTCCGATTCTTGTGGCAACAGAATAAATGCCGAATATTATCGCGAAAATATTCTGGAGGGTGTATTAAAGTCTTGGGCACGCAAACATTTTGGCCGAAGACCTTGGACATCCCAACAGGACTCAGCACCATCGCACTAAGAACGCGCTTTCATTCAATAAAATTTTAAAAAATGTAATAACTATGGCGTTTGACTTTGTTGCAGTTTTCTTTATCTCACCCTGTATAGACAAATAAAAAATAAAATCATCTTAATTTTAAATAGAAATGTATATATCTTATCCCACTTCCACCCACATACACAATGAAACACCAGCTTATTAAACAGTCTATCTGTACTTTAGCACATATATTAAAATAAAACTTCATATAAATCATTTTCAAGTCCAGTTGGCATTATAAAAAGTTGGATTTGTGTTTTCTTTTTATTATTTCTTAAAATTACTACTAGGAATATACATAGTATGGAACAAACTATAACACACAGAAAAAGTACAAATGATAGAAGTGGACAGATGTTTCAAAGGAAATGGAAACGTAATATACCTAGTGTTGTAATAAAAGCACTTTAAAAAAATGATAAGGATGTGTTTTAGGTTGAAAATGAGCAATTTACAATCGCTAAAATATTTGTTTGTCATAGAGTAGAAGGGGGTTTGATTAGAAAATATTGTTGGTTTTTGTGCCACACAAATAATTTGTATAAATTTGTTGTTTTTGTATTTTAACAATTTTATATCCTTTTTTATTGAATTTTATTCCCATTTTATGGTTTGTTTTGTAAAAAAATTAAATAATTTGTAGATTTTATTTTTTCGCTTAACAGTTTTAGGTCAAATTTTAAAACAAATACAAACACAACAGAATACAATTAAATTATTTAAAAAATATAAAAACTGAGTGAATTTTTTCGTCGTGTTTATAAGTTTTGTCTTCCTCTTCGTATCTTCTTTATAAATATAAAGTTCACAAACCAATTAAAAGTATAATAATAAATGGTACAAAATAAAGAAGAATTTTATGGATGATGCACATGGTGGTTGAGGCTTTCATTGAACATCTTTCACGTCTACCATTTCTTTTTGTGTTCGTCCATAGATACACCACCGGGACCCAATGATACAATCATCAATAAACCACCAATAACTGATAGGGTCTGCAAAAAAAATTGTTTTTGTAATATTTAAAAGTTTGTTACGGTAGCAGTTTTTTGTTTTTAATTTTCTTACCTGGAAGAAGTCATATTTAAGAAAATCTCTGAGAGGCTTGTATGAAGGAATGGTCCACCACGCGTTATGGTACAAATTTAAGATAGTCAAGAGGGCAACCAAAATCAGGGCGGACAATTTTGTTTTGTAACCAATTGTTACCAAAACCATCAAGATTGAGCCCACAATGTCTTGAAGAATCTGAAAAAATACAAATATAAAATATATATTATAATGCACAAAAACAAGTTCAAAAGTAATTGTCGGTTTAGCCGACAGATGAATACCCTCAGCCAATGTACGATTAATTAATATATTTTTTTTGGTGTAACACCGAAGTATTCCGTTTTCATACATCATCGAATACAGATCGAACATTTATATCCAATTTGTGGAAAATCATAAATTCCATATTCATCTCAGATTTCTGACAAAAAGGGATGTATTTCAATATAGCAAGTTGTAAAGAATGGCTGACTTGTTCCGCAAGTTCTGACATATAAAGGAATTGAAAATTGTGAACCTTTGTGGGCGATATACAAGAATGGTCCGATTTCTACCGACTTTATTACATATCCTGTGTTGATAGATATATTCATATGTGTCAAGTCTAAATGAAATCGGATGTTTATTTCGCGTTTTATGGGCTTCATGAATATTCAAAATGTCGAACTTTTGTGTGTGGAGGTTCCAGAAGGAGTGGACCGATATATTCCATCTTAACGCCCGACCTTGGGTTAATAAAATTATTGGGATGTGTGAAATTTGAAGACAATCGGACTCTTACATCACATTGCACATAAGAGTTGTAATGAGTGGATAGTGGACAGATATTGTCCATTTTCGCACCTGACCTATCACTGACGCAAATATTCGGATTTGCAAAGTTTGCTAGATCGACTCTAAATGTCCTGAAACGGACCTGGTTCAAAGAGACCTGAGTCCTAAAACTGTTTTTTCGCCATATGGCTGAGGGTATAAAAGACACTGAAAGTTTATTAATAACTATGACCATACTCACTTGCAAAAAGCTTAGCTCAAAACGAATCAGTGTAATAAACATAAATGCAAGCAAGATACGTCCAGCGAGTTGCATAACATTTTTAGGTTTATTGTCACCCAATGTGGGCACACCGGCGAAAAGACTTCGACCTTCGACGCGCGACTCTGCCAAAACCAAGAGAAGTGCACCAATTAAAGCTAAATTGCGCAGCAAGAATTGAATATCCCAAAGAATGGAGTAGGCAATTGTCTAAAAAAGTCAACATTTACATTAAACATTTAATTGTTCAAATATTAAATTGTTAACAGTGACTTACCTGCAGAACTACGATGAAGAACAGAATACCAACAGCAATGTCAACCTTAAATCTAGCAATGACCATAACACAGCCTCCCAGTTGTCCAATTAAGTTAACTAATACAAATACAGTAGCCAAAAATTTTCCACAACCCCAACTCATGTCCATGTATTCGCGTTGTTCATTCCATTGGAAGTACATACGAAGACCATCTTCGAAAAATGTAGCTATCAAACATAGACGGGCTACTGTGGGCAGGATGTTTTTACCGCGACGAATGACCTAAAATAAGAAAATTTGGTATTAAAAACATAATTTAACTAGCGATGAGGAAGTTTTCCAAAACCAAATAAATAAATAAAAAAAATACAAAAAATTTATAAAAATGCATTTAATCTTTATTAGAATTTTTAGTAATGTTAACGCCTAAAATGGTCCATCCGTTCAGTCCAATTTTGACATACTTCAATCAGTCAATTGAAACGGACTTGTTTGTATAGACACAAGCCTTAATATTACCCTACAACAAAATAGTCTAAAGGCGTTAAATCGAACGCTCTAGGCGGGCAATTGACCGGTCCTAAACGAGAATTAAAATGTTAACTTAACTCGCCATTGTTAAGCGTGCTGTGCGGCGTGTAGCACCGCCTTATTTTGAGATCATGTCATCCTCTTGTATTTTTGGATTTAGAGCAGTTATAGTTTTATTTCAGGGAACTAATATACAGGGTGATATGAAAAACTGCAACAAACTTCAGACTGCTGTCATTTCTAAGCCACTCGTCCGACAGATGTTAAAATTATTCCAGTGACAGGTCATTATATTGTTTACAAGTGTACAAAACAAAAAAACAGCAAACATCAGCAGTAATGGTTCGAAAAGTAATGAAGCGACTTGATAGAAACCCGCGTCGCAGTGGCCGAAAAATGGCTCGTGACCTGAACATATCGCAATATTCCATTCGGCAAATATTGAAAAATGAACTTACCCCGAGCTATTGAAATTCAAAAAAGGGCAAGAACATACACTGCAACAGAAGGAAAATAGACTCAAAAGAGCTAAGACTTGCTTGGCCGAAAGTGGTGAACTGCCGAATTTGGTTTTCTCCGATGAGAAAACATTCGTTGTCCAGCAGTTTGTTAAACAACAAAATTATCGTGTTTACTTGTCAAAGAGGTCAGCTGAAAATGTGCATCTTCGGTTGGCCACCAGAACTCAAGCGCCGGCCATGATGATGGTTTGTTTCGCCATAACAGCCGATGGTCGCTCTCCGCTCGTATTAATCGACTGTGGCATCAGAATAAATGCCGAATATTATCGCGAAAATATCCTGGAGGGTGTATTAAAGCATTAGTCACTCAAAACATTTTGGCCGCAGATCTTGGACATTCCAACAGGACTTAGTACCAGCGCACTCAGCACGCCCCACCCAAGAATGGTTACAAAATGAAGTTCCTCGCTTCATTTCCAGCGCACAATGGCCACCAAAATCTCCGTATACCAATCCGTTGGACTATTGTGTCTGGAGTATTTTGAAAAGCAAGCGCTTCGCCGGGAATGTGCCAAAATACCGCAGACCAGCGTGTGACGGCTTCATTGGCCGTTTGAAGGCCATAATTCGTGCCAACGGTGACCAATTCGAACAAATCTAAACTTATTCTAAAATTTGATGCTATTACCGACATTTAAAAAAAAATTAAAATTATGGCGTTTGACTTTGTTGCAGTTTTTTTTTATCTCACCCTGTACACTCATCAGTTGGTTTGTTTGCACATGTATCATTTGTAACATCTCAAATATATAGTCGACAAAATATATCACGCAAGTTTTAATGGTTTTAAATGTATAGGATGACTTCTAGAGGTTGTATGCAAAGTGGATCCATATTTTACTACAACCGCTAAATAACTGTCCTGATTTAGGGTATTTTAGACGGGGATTTGCACATTGTTGGCTATAATGCAGCGCATTACGGTTTGAACGATAAAATGACCAATAAAGGTCAACAGCATTTTGCACATCTCAATATAATAACAACTCCACAATTAGTTCTTGTAAATGACTAAGTAACACTCTCCATCCATTACTTAATGTAGAATTTTATATTCTTTATATTATTTTCGCGGGAATAACGAATTGCACTCTCTTAAATAGTTATCACAGTAGGTCCCAAAAAATTTTTTCTTAACAAAAAATTGTCCATTGTTTACCTTGTCCATGGTTCACAAAAAATGAGGCAACTATCACGAACTCTTTTCCAACACACGTCTCCAAACAATAAATGATGCGAAACAAATTGAAACCATACATATCGAAATCTTTAAATTTTTATGGGAGCCAGCCAAGTCATTGAATAACATTGGTTATCTAAGATTCATAGACAATTTTCAATTTTAAACAATCATAAGTAGACACAAAACAACGGTTATCTGAGTTCAATGGTATTCCCACAAGCGATTCGTCGTACCGAACACACGCAAACAAACATCAATACAAGCTTTTCGACCTTTACCGTGTAGTCAGTTACATGCATGAGGAACGGTTCGTACTATCATTTGTTATCGGTTAACCAAATTCAAGGTGAATTTTTACAAGAAGTGGGTACATAAACATGATCTATGTCAATTGCCATGACTTTCATAGGTTACAATGTTTTGAGAATGTCATTGATAAGGTTATTGTTTGTAATTGAAAAGGGTAGGTTTTGTATGAATTTAAATATAATTGTGTAAAACAACAATAAAACAAAAGCTTTAAATTAAATTGAATTTCTGTTTTAAGGGAAATACCCAAAAATTTCTTGGAAGGCATGCCCTAAATCTTATCTTTTCCATACACAAGTAGCATTTGTTTTATTGATAATGTCAGCATCTAGTTCTCATTTAAGTAAATTAAACAACCGTGGCAATATTCTGCCAATACAATATTACTATCAAATGGTGATAAGACGTAATTCACTAAGAGTAAACTTTGATTTGGTTATGAAACCATAAAAGCTGAGAGCATTTCTCTTCAAATCAACCTTAAGAGACAGATGGAAGATGGCTTAACTTGAAAGACATTAACAAAATAAATTTAATAACAATTAACCCACATATACAAATGTATTTTTATTTTCTTCATTCGTTCGTTTTGCCTGTTGTTTAATTCATTCGCAAGACATCAAATAAATGCCGGTCTTAACAATAACACAATATGTACCGTAATTGTTGTTTAACATACTCTACTTCTCTTATTTATTTATGGAAATAAAAGACAACGTGTTCAAGAATCATGACGTGTCTCGAATAGTGTTTCTTTCTCTCTCTCTCTCTCTCACTCACTTTGTGCTCATGTTTGGAGTTTGAAAGTGAAACTTAAAAGTTATGCTGTTGCTGCTGACTGTTTCGATTGAGTTGTGTATAAAAATGTTGTTTTTTCGATTTTTTTAAAGATACTATTCAAAAAATACCAGGTTATGTTGGAGAATTGATAAAGATGGCTTATTGAAATATTGAACACGTAAACATATTAGCATTTGTTGTAAAACCGCTATATCTAACATTTGGCTAATTTCTTAGCATTCGAGGAGAAACACGTTCGCATGTGTGGTAACCTAAACATAAGGAAATTGAAAACAGGTTTACATCCGAAACATGCACTATTGACATTTGTTGCATTTTTTGGACACAAACCCGAAATGAACAGTGGTTTGGCATAAAAAGTAGTTGAAGAGTAGACAAAACAACTTGTATAGAAAACTTATAACATTACATAAATGTACGTAGGGTGTGGCCCTAGGGCCCGGGTCCCCTTTGAAATGGTAATTTTGCTGACATTGTTTGTATATTTTACATGGAAACATTATTTAGCCCTCGAAATGGTTTCTAAATGTATTACTTTGAACTTCCCTGAACTCTTTACAGATAACTAAAATATCATCAGTGTTAGATCTCTAAAATCAAGAAGGTTTGGTATCAAGTGAGACCCTGGATGTCGATTTTCTGCTGATTTTCAAAATTTTCATTATTTCTTGGACAAAATTACCAAACAAAACATTACACATCGCACTAACTTTTTAGCTGCACCAGTTTGATGTCAAAAAGCATAATAGGAAAATTATTACTTTCTGCACCAAAAACTCTTCAAAATCTTTCGTTTAAAGTTAACCGAAGAGCATAGTAGTTAATCCCTTATTAATCCAATTTTTTGTCACTAAAACCATTTCAACGTTTTTTTCATAATAAAAATTGGCCACCAACATACCAAAATTCAAAAAAATCAACAGCGACCTTAATATCATACGTCAAAATTCGAGCTCTATCCATTCACTCATCGACAAATTTAGTACTTTTCGAACAATCATAGTACGCATTCCCAAATTCACCTGCTTCTCTCAAAACAATATACCAATCGTTGATTCTATATCAAATATCAGAATTGCCACTCTATCCTAAGACCCAATCTCAAATGCATTACCCTACTTTTCATACAGTTATACTACATATGTCCAAAAGCACCTCCTTCTCTCAAACAGTGACCCCCATACCAAATTTCCGAATTCCAATTCTATCCCAACACCCAACCGCACCTTCTTCTCTCAACCACAGACACCAATAGTGACATCCACCTCATATCCACAGACAGCAACAGAGTCCTCAATATCAAATTTGATGATTCCGGTCCTATCCCTTCACCCAATACCAAACTTAGTACTATTTAGTACTTTTCGTACAAATATAAGACGCATTTCCAAAACCACCGCCATAACTTAACCACAGACAACAACATTCACCTTAATATAAAATTTTGGGATTCCAGCTCTATACGTTCACACATATCATATTTAGTACACATAAGTACAAAATTTCCACAACTACCTACATACTATATTCCTACACTTTAAATTTCCAAAACTACCTTAATAACTCAAACGTACAGCCCCATCGAAATCTCATTTCCAATTTCATAATTCAAACTGTATTGGTTAACCACAATTCCAATGTGTACCAAATTTAGCACCATTTAGTACATAATTACAATTTTCCATATCTACCTATATCATACGGTCCAATAGCATTTTTTTCCAAATTCCAGGAGTTCAACTTCACAGGGTGAGATCAGACTGCTGTCAATACTAAGCCACTCGTACGACAGCTGTTTACATGCGTACAAAAGCATTTTGGTGAGAATTTTTCAGAAAAATAATTATTAGTGATGGAATTCAAGCGTGATAGTGAGATTTCTTTATCTTTGGTTGTTAGAGCACTCCAGCATTTAAATGTGAATAAATCTTTTGTGTCTCGTACCATCGCTTATTACCGTGATACTGGTAGCGTAGCCCGACCGTAACCTCAAGCAAGCGCTTCGCTGGGAATGGGCCAAAATGCCCGAGAGCAACATTCGGGCAGCGATTGACGGTTTCATTGGCCGTTTGAAGACTATAATTCGTGGCAAAGTGGACCAATTCAAATCTAAAATTATTCTAAAATGTGATGCTATTTCGGACATTTTGTGCTTTCATTCAATAAAATTTAAAAAAAAATGTAAAAATTATGGCTTTTGATTTTGTTACAGTTTTTTATCTCACCCTGTACCTTTAAATATTCTTATCGAGTATGCAAAAATTGTGTTTACCTACAGCTTACAGGCTTTTGTGACAGATTTATTTTTTTGCATTAAATGTTATATCTATTTATATTAAATATTTTGTCAGTTAAAATCAATTATAAGAATTTGAATTCGCTCTCATCAGCTAAATGACTTGGATTAAATTGAAAATCAAAGTATTCAAAATTTAGGATTGTAAAATTAATTATTTGAGATAATGATTTTTTTAGAATAAATCCATGGCTTTTCATATGCTTTAAAAAATAAATGGGTCATCTCCAATTCCTTAGGGTGAAAAATCATTTTTCAATTGACCTTGAAAATGCATCAGTTTTCAATTCACTTCGAAGCAATGTTAGCTTCTGACAACTTGAAATAGACCTGCCACGAAAAGCACGTCTTAACAGCATTGAATGAATTATAATTCAACACAATGTCTTCGAACTGGTTCCGTAACGCTTTAGAAACTAATCGAAAGTAAAGAAAAGGTAAATGATGAACGCTTTTAATTTCACTTTGTTACAGTTAGGTAATAACGACATAGAAAAACACGGTCACCAAAAAACTTAACATTAACTTGAAGCAACAAATGGTCGAGTGGAGGGGGTAAGAGATTTCCAATACGCAACGACATGAAGACAACAACAACAAAAAGAGGAAAGTGTGTACTTTTGTTATTTGTATTTGATTATACAAAGTGCATTTGAATACACACAATTGGAATGTTGTTTCCAAAATAGAAAGAGATTACCGTTGCGATATAAACATTATTCTTCGGAATGATTAGCAGTAATTGTTTTTGGAATATTATGGGAAAATAAACTATGCCATTGCAAGAAAACACATTTAAATTATCTTTGTCCGACAGAAAGGACTACAGAAGCCGAATAAATAATTACGAAATACTAAACATTTTACATTTCTCCTAGCACTTGAAATTAAGTACATCATGATTTGCCAACAAGTCCATTGTTTTTTTTTTTTTTTTTTTTTCTTAATAATCTTAATATTAACATAAATTTAAACAGTAACCCATGTCTCAGTCGGAAACACACGACTGGATGACGTTGACAGTTTTTTCATTCGTATTTACTACAGCTCGCCTATTTGTCAGGTCTCCCTTATGTTGTTCTCTTAACCGTCTTTTTACGCCATTAAGAGAGTGAATATTGTCAAACAAATGACCACTATGTTTTTTTTGGCAATTTTTGTCAACGTATGTTATTGTCTTCTACTAACATCCAAAGGCATAATATTTATTCCTTACCTGATCCGCCACATCCTCTGTTTTTGCAATATATTCGTTTGGGATGTTCATAGTTGTGTTATCTTCCTCTAGCTATTAATACCGATCAACAATCCTGGATTTTTAACTGGTCAGTCTATCCAATTGCGGAACTTTCGCTTGTATGTCAATATGGAGTGTGTATTCCGTGTATTTGGTTGAATGGAATTATTAATGTTTGTACTTTAACCCTTGTCACTTTATATTTCATAAAATTTCGGGAAAAAGTCAAAACTATTACTTTTCTAATAAAACTTAAAAAAGAAAACGACAGAAATATCCACGTAAAACACCACGGAAAGACAAGACAAAAATTAGGGATATGTAAGTTGACTTTTGACAGCAGCTCCCAAAATGCAACTCGATTATGAGAAAACAATCGATTGTTCCGATCATGACAGATGCTCGTTCAAAGTAGCGTACACATTTTTGAACTTTTGTCGCCTTCTATTTTAATACTACAGGCATGGTACAAAAATAAGGTAAAGTAGAGCCATTAGCTTTTTACAATTTCTTTCTAAGTGTACCTGACTTCTGCCAATTTTGTGTATGTATTTATTGTTTTAAAAATGGAAAAAAAATATTTTCAAAACCAGTTATTGGAAGACATGTACAATGCGACCCGCGCATTAAATCTATTAGCCATGAAATTAAAGATTGAGCGGTTTGGATCATGTTTTTGCGAAAAGAATCCGGTCATTTCATTCATTGTTTACGCTATTTGACTTAAAATACGAGGAAAAGTAAGAAAAAAAATGAAAACAACTTGTTTCATAAAATTTTGAATTAGTCTGACAGAAAGCAGGCATAGCTTCAGGGCTGTATTTCTGTACTTTTATAAAGCTTTTCTACCTCCTTATTGTACCATTGGTACAGGTAGATGCATCAACGCTTGAGCACATTGATATGTTAAACTTTTTTAGATATTTCTTGAAAATAAGTAGTTTTGTATGTGTATTCCTACACAACGTATTTCATTCAAAAATTTCGGTTCCAAAATTGATTTGAAAGTTCACTGTCCCAGCACCTGTGTCAATGCAAATACCAGTATTCTCTTGCCATCCTATTTCTCATGCTGCAATCATGGCACACGAACTTTCTCCATGTAGGTCCACGTTTTGGTATAGCCCCCATATAATGGTGCTACCCTATTTTCGGTATTTTGATGATTTTAGCGACATTATTCACCGGAATTTTTTCAAATTTGGTATTTGAAGTTCGTATTGGATATTACAGCCCAGACAGAAAAGTTGCTTATGCAGGTCAACGTCTTCGTCTAGCCCTCATGTAACGGTACCTCCCGATATATGGTATTTGATATTTTTAGCCACATTATTCATCGGAATTGTTTTAAATTTGATATTTGAAGTTCATAATGAATACTGCAGCATATGACAAAAATTGTCTGTGCTGGTCCACGTTTTGGAATAGCCACCATATAATGGTACCTCCCTATATTCGGTATTTTCATGATTTTAGCTGTATTATTTACCGGAATTTTAGTATTTGAATATTGTAATGGCTTATGACAAAAGTTACTTGCATAGGCTTCAAATACCACGTCGTCGTATATACCCTATATAACGGCTAAATTTTTTAAGATGTTAACAAATCTTTTTTTTTTTGAAAACTGCTAAATGGGTATTCAACCGCTTTTTACTTGTTTTTTTTTTAGTAACTTTGCGTTTATGAAAGGCAGGATAATAACCATAACCGATTTTCTGACTTTCTTTTTGGGATAAAAAGAAATTAGTTAGGGGCACGATGTTGTGAAAAATATTGCGAGTGAAGTATCAAATAAAAAAACAACTTATTGCATTTATTATTCGAAATTTGAAGTTGCAAGACTTAAGCTTCAGGATTGTGTTTTTTAGAATTAATTATTCTGCCCTATCTTGTATTTAGTGTACCATAGTTTTACAACTATCTGAACACGTACGTCACAGAAACAACTTTAGATGTTTCGGCAATTAATACAATATGTGCTTTGTTCCAAAACCATGAATCTACTATTTTTTTTTTCGATATCATAAAGGGAAAATCGGTTAACGTTGCAGTTCTGGAACAGACCATTTATGTATCTTCAGCTTAAAGATGAGAATACATAAAACGCTTTTCTGACTTTCTTACGTCAAAGTGGCGGTTGATTAATTATAAGTGTTAACAACGCCTGAAATTTGGTATGTGAACATGCTATCAGAATGTCATGGTCATCCATCGGAACGTGTTGCCAATTAAAATAATAAGTCTTGCCAACTTTCCGTCAGGCCAAAATCGATTATCGAGCCCTGTTTCATTTCATTTATAAAAAAATTTTCGTGCTGAAGAGGTGTGTTCTCGAAAGTGTGTCGTTTCTAGCCGAAGGTGTAATATATAAAATAAAATATTTATATATTTAAATAAATTATATCAAGTTTGAAGTTAAATTAAGGTAAGTACTTTTTGTTTTATAGAAATTACTTAATTTTAGCAAAAACATAGTGAAATTATGCAAATCAGTTGGGAGGAAATTCTGTATACCTACCAATTTGACAAAATGGTCGCCATCTTGACAAAATTTTTCTGCTGGCAAGAAAACACAAGTTTGTGTGTGTGCGTAATTTCTTTTAAAAACTTAATACGTAAATATGAAAAGTTAGGCAATTATTATCGCTAATAACCATAATTTATATGTCTTTCTCTTTGACAGTTATAAATACTAGTAATTAAATATGCCACGCTATCGTGAATGGGATTTGGCTTGCAAAGTATATGTGGGAAACTTGGGCTCATCTGCATCAAAATATGAAATAGAAAATGCATTTAGCAAATATGGCCCACTACGTAATGTTTGGGTGGCACGTAACCCACCCGGATTTGCGTTTGTTGAATTTGAAGACAGACGAGATGCTGAAGATGCAACCCGTGCTTTGGATGGAACGTAAGTATTGAGTATTATATGGTATTTGATTGCATGTAATTAACGAAAATGTTCTCACAGACGCTGCTGTGGAACCCGCATTCGTGTCGAAATGTCCTCCGGACGTTCACGACGTGATAGTAGACGTCGTGGCGGAAACAGTGGAGGAGGCGGAGGCCGTGGAGGTGCTAGCGAATCTGCCAGTGCCCGCGGAGCAGGTGGTGGCAGTGCTCGTTATAGGTAAGTTTCAAAACTTTTCCAACAATTCGGTGTACTATATGAAAGTATTTTATTTGTATCCATGTATAATTGTTGAAGATATGGGTCGCCGTCTTAGCAATTTCTTTGTTATAATTATGTTGGCTAAATCTGAAGTGGAAAAAACAACGAAAATAAGACCCCATACCTTAAGCTGGCGTCCATATCTATATGTGCACCTCAATATCTCCCATTTTAACGAATTTAAACATTTCCCTTTATATGCAAAATAATAAGCTTTTAAGGTCAATCATTTCAAATAGTAGAAAAGTTGCTTCATCTGATTGTCCTGAACATGCGCAGTAGTTTATTGTTCAAAAAAATATTTGTATACACGGAACGTATATACTAAGAATCAATGTATTTCCTATTCAAAGGCAATATGTGACTTACAATTTTCAACAATAATTTTATTTTACATTCATGTATTTACATCGAACCATAGTCATTGATCGGACAAAACAATATAAGTGAAAATAAGTATCTTCAGAGATCGCATTTAAGTTAATTATTAGACTGGGGATTTTCATTTTAATATATATCGATTCCTAAAAAGCTTATTATTTTGTATATTTTATTTTTCATGTCATTTGCATGTTTATCTTCCACTACCACTGTGTCATTAATGACTTGACGGTATCTACGACTGTACAAACAGTATGTCTAAAGATACCTTGTATTGTTTATGGCAATGGTGTAAATATTTTTACACAGAATACAATTTCCGTTCATTTTTTTAACCACAATGGCTCGTTGTTTGTGTTATATTTGTGTATGTCAATGTTTTTACACGTGTACTATGAATGCGTCTCCCTTCTCGGATATTACGACTTGACAAAAATATTTGTTTTTTTATTACACACATATCCCTTGTTTGTATTTTTGTTCACATAGAAAAAATCGTTTTTTTTTTTTTTAATATTCTTAGTTCTTTTTTGTTATAAATTTTTTAAACGTGGTATACGCTCCTCATTTTTACAGGAATATAAAGTCGTCTTCTGCTTCAGCTACTACTACTACTACTACCTCCACTATTTGTTGTACCTCAAGTACATCTGTTACTACTACCAACTACTCCTCTTCCAATTTCTACTACAAAAAATCAACCAACAACTTCAACAACAACTACAACGACGACTACAGCGATCTCAGCAAGACAACAAGAAACGACATTATTATCAACACAACAACATCAATAACAACAACAAAACTTCCAACACAGTCAACAACAACATTACACTTCATCATTACAAATCGTTTGATAGCCAACACATTAACAAACCCCAACAAAGTTCTGACTTTTAGTTTGACATTGAAAGAACACACATTTTTATATGGACTAATTCAGGGACTTGACACGACCAATAGAATACATGGAAATAATACAGTACGACCAACTCTTACAAGAACAACCAAATCGCTGAGTTGTTTATTGACAGTAGCTGTTGTTGTCGTCGTCGTCGTTTGTAAACAAATTCATCAAAATCTCAACCATCACCACCAATCAAATCACAACCACAACCACCTCAACCACCACAATCAACAACAGCAACACCACCACTACCATAAACATCTCTGCAGTTGTTGTAGTAGTCATCTTCCACAACGATTTTGTTGTATACTGGCGTCCTCAACAGCGTCAATGCCTTCAACGTTGATGAGAAAATTCCGATCTTCCACTACTACTACTACTACTCCTTCTACATCATCAACAACAACAACGACGACAAGAAATTGCAACAATGTTTCTACTACTTCTGCTACAGAGGCGTCGTCGTCATTATTAGCACCATCAACACCACAGCTACTACTACTACTACTTCTACTAAAACATCACAACAGTCACCAAGAAAACGACAGTTATTGTATTGCCCAATTCAGCCAACGATCTCCTCCTCAGTGCTTATCCCAGCCAACATCAACTTTATATTCGTCCCCTTCTTTGACAGTAGAAAATGATATATTAACAACACTACCTCCAAACTTACCACTATCACCACCACCACCAACTTAACCACCACCACCACCACGACCACCTTATTGAATCAGCTTGATGAACTAGTTCTCCTGCAGCTTGTTCGATTTGAATATCTTCAAAAAACTTACTGCAACGCAACGCAGTGCATTTGGTTATTGTTGTAAAAATACTGGTAATCATCAGTTTATGTAGCTGCATTATTTGTTTTTGGCTAA